GGGGGGGGGGGGGGGGGGGGGGGGGTGGTTGCGAACATGCGGAAGCCCTGGGAAGTCTGGAATTAATTCGTAGAGGGTGGCTGGAGGTTAGTGAACAACGACGAGGCATCGGGACATCGGCGTCATTCTCAGAAGAAACCCCCCTCCCCCCAGCCCCCCCCCCCAAAAATCAAAATACTGATGCACCAAAGTATGGAAGAAAATAGGTAGGAAAACAAGTAAGCAGCAAAATATCAAAGATCAAACCAGCAAAAGCTCAGCGGGCCGCCGCCCGGTTACGAAACCCTGTTTTACCCACACTGTAAGGTGCCAGCTTCCCTACTCGTGTGGCAAGTTTACTTGAGAATAGCGAGCCCAAAATCCCTATTCGTTAACCTGCCTATACCATGGATCGAACCCTTGACGTCGAGGACTCAAGCGAACAAACCCATCGTTCAAGGCAGGCCCTTTCAAGGACCACCGCTGGTGACCACTAGGCCAGACAACGGTGTGTAATTGTTGGGAAGGTACGCGTTGGACCTTGTAATTACATATACCCTCGCTCTCTTGCAGGTGGTCTCTTGCCCGCTTGCAACCGACTGCGCAGTACCGCAACATCGAGATTCGGGGATAATGTACTGGTTTAAAAGCAATCACTTGCCCAGCCCCCGGAGAGATATACTACACCGTAACCGTCTCCGTCGTAAACCAATCATCAACCAAACCCCCTCTTCAAAACCCGCGGCACGCGCTTATACCTCCCATCCCCCGCCCGAAAACACAAATCCGCCGTCCAGCAGCCACCAAAACCATCCATCCACCGGACCGGGCCCAAGTCGTGCATGTAGCATGCTCCGAGATATCAGTCGTCGGCATCGACACGTTGAAAACGTTGCATTGCCACCGCCCACGACTGGGTTGGTGCATGTGGCCTGGTTTGACGAGCGGGTCGAGACGCTCGAGGGTGACCTATTTGGGAGCGGCTGGAGCGGAGGTAGGTGGTTGAGGTTTTGGTGGAGGCGCTGGGCTTGGGCTAGGGATTGGAAGGTTAGTGTGGGCTAGAGCATGGTTGTGATAGGGATGGATGCGTGGGATAGGGGCCGGTTGGTAAGTTGGGATGGGCTAAGGAGGTAGAGAGGTATAAAGACCAAGGGGGCTTGTTTAATAAGGGGGTTATTGATGGCAGAGAGTATCGTGATATCTTTCCTTATTTTCCGAAGCCCAACTGCCATGCAGACCAAGTCCATGAACGAACTGCGTCTAGTCACAAACCAGGAATTACAACACCACCCATCTCCACGGCCAGTCACTGTCTCTTCGCCCAACATACACTCTGAGATAATTGAATGATTAGTGCCCAAGACTCGGCAAACGGCCGATTGTGCGGCTACGCCGGCAGATGTAGACGACGCAAAAGCCAATATCACAAAGTATCCAATCGGCAAGACTCCAGTGTGCCAAGAGACATCTAATATATGTCTGCGGGATATGGCTGCACGGCTCGGCTAGAGGGTACAACACGCTTCGGCAGCGGCAGGAGAAAGAGCCGGGCCGGAGCGAGCCGATACGGTGATATTATTTCACGAAGAGTGAGAGGGAGTTGGAGATTAAGAATGGAATTTGGTGTGCTATTTATTGTAACGAGTATTTATCCAGCAGTGCTTCCCTTGAATGGTGCGTCTATTTCTCGTTGGGGTGGTGCGGGTTCTATCGTTGGTGTATCCCGTCAGTCAGGTTATTCACCAAGGCGTCGACGTATAAATAGGTACTAGGTGGAAAGGGGGTTGGAGGAGGGGGGTAGGTGGAAAGAAATAAAAGCCAAAGGTAAAAGAAAAACTCACCAAAATAATCTGCACATGCGTAAACAGCAGCTTCCCCGCAGGACCAGGCACAATACTATACCGACCCGCCCACTCCTCTAGGTGCGGTTCTTCCCCCGGCTCCTGGTAAACGACCTGGCCGAGCGCCAGGAGCTCGAGGTCGTTGGCGCCGAAAGTATAGACCTTCACCAGCGGGTGGTCGCGGTGTTCGACGTTGGCGAAGAGCTGCTCACGGAACGCAAGAATGGCATCGTGTCCGACCTGCTTCTTGCCGGCGAACTCGTAGACGCCGTCGGGGGTGAAGAGGGAGACGAATCTTTGTTCGTCTTTGCGGGGGGGGTAGAAGTTAGTATCCAGGGAGTAATTAGGTACAACGGGTTCAATAGGCCCTATGGCGGCGTCATATCAGGGCTTGAGGGTAGAAGTGGACTGACCCTTATCATGTGGGGTATGAGACGAAGCGGCGTTGGAAAGGCGGTAGAACTCCTCGAGGAGCTCCCGCACGGGTTCCGTCACCGTTTCGGGGAATGCGCCGGGGAGGATGGTCATCTTGGTGGTTGTGTTGACAAGAGATTCGAAAGCGGGTTTAATTACTATTCTGAAGAACGGGTCAAAGTCAACGATGCGTTGGTGTCAAGAATAAACCAACAATAAACACAAACCCAACCCAAGCCGCCTCTTATACCCCTCGTCCCTCCAAACCATACCCTGTCCAAGACACCCATCACCATCCCCTTCTCCTCTTCCATCATCGAGCGGGGAATGCATCACACAAAGCACATCGTGCTTCCCAACCTGCATCAAAGCTGAACCAGCTCCGACCTATGTCTCAGCTTCCCGAGAGACCTGAACCTGCGGCCGGTCCCGAAGGGATACCCAATCGCGATAGCCGAGAGAAATGCAACTAGACGAAAGCAGGATCCTGTAGTGGCCGTCCAATGCGCACTTACAAAAAATCGGAGACTGTTCGTCAAATCACGCCACAAATGTTTGAGATGTGAGCATGTCCCGCATCCGATGGACCTGACCTATGAGACATATGATATGCAGGTTGGTTCGAGGGAGAAGGGATCTTCGGTTCGCAGCAGCTGGTTGATGCCATTGTGCGACTGTGCGTCAATCTCAGGTGCGATTGAGTGATGGATGGGAAATCACCCGCGCTTAAGTCGGTTGGTTTGGTGGAGAATGTGGGAGTTCAAGTTGCAGAGTTGAGTTAGTCAACTCACCCCTCTACCCTCAACATCTTTTACATTCCGAGAAGATCATTGGGTTTCCATGCACACACTACAGTAGTACAGTGATTCCTCACAATCTTACCCACTTGCCACTCAACTCACCGTTCTCCTCCGAACATTCCCCTCCCCCGAAAAAATCCCCCCAACCCCCCCATCAACCCCCCGACCCCCTTCCCCTCCGCCCCCTCCACCATCCCCTCTCTAATCCAGCCCGGTAGTTTCCCCCTGATCCTTTCTGCAGCAAACCTCCGGTCAACCAACACCACGGCCGCATAGTCCCCCTTGTGTCGGATCGCTCGCCCGATACTCTGGTTCACGGCGCGCATGCAGGCGTTTTCGTAGAAGGCGCGGGAGGCTTGTTTGGCTTGTTCGCGGGCGCGGGCGTTGAGGGGGTCTATTACAGGCTTCTCTGCGTTAGGGTTGGGGCTGTTGGTGGTGGTGTTGCTATCGTTGTCGGATGAGGGGGTAGTGAGAGCTGTGAAGGTGGTGGACTCGATATATTCCAGTCGGGCTTTCCAGTCAGGCGCGTGGATGTTAGGGTAGGGTAGCCCGACGACAACGACACAGCGGCCGAGACGGTCGGAGAAGTTGATGCCTTCGGAGAGTCGGCCGCCCACGACGCTGAGGAGGAGGGCGCCGCGGGGGGGCCGGCGGGGGTTATTGGTACCATTAGTTTGGGAATTATCGTTGTTGCTGCTTTCGGCATCAGGCGGAGAGAGAATGGCGCTGCTGTACTCCTGCAGAAGCTCATCTGTGGCTCCACCGCGGGTCTCGCGGAAGAGATGCTTCTTTACAGCGAGGCGGTCCCATATGGAAGCTGGGGGCTGTTGGCCAGGTTGGGTTGAAGGAGCGGATTGCCAAGCAGCGACGACCTCGTCGAGATAGCCGTAGCTGGGGAAGAAAACCACCACGCCGTCGGGGACGACAGAGCAGATATTAAGGAGAACGAGGCCGAGTTGCTGGATCATGGCTGGGTCTTTGCGTCTTTGAAAACTGAACTCGAATGTTCCCGCGCTCGTATCAGAGGCTGCAGCGCCTTGTGTAGTTGGTTTTGTGGAAGCGAGCGTCCAGGCGAAGAGGTTCGAGGCGGGAATGACGTGCCCGCAGCTAAGGGTGGTGATTTTAGTTGATGGAAAGGTCGGGAAAAGGTGGGCTTTGTAGTCGTCAAACGGTGACATAGTACCGCCGGCGAGAATCACAGCCCTGGCTGCTGAGGCGATAGATGAGAAGGCGTGAGTGGGGGATAGAAGAAGGTAGGATAATTTGATGTCGGTTGGTGGGATCTTTTCGTAGAATATTCGGCCCTCGGCGCTCAGATTGGTGAGCGCTGTCATGAACGAAACGAGGGTATGCAGCACCGGTGTCGACGGTGATGTTTTCCTGTCAGAGGACAAAGCATCCTGCTGTCCTTCTTCCACATGAGCGGCGTAGCTCTCGACCTTGTACGCCAGTTTCGATTCCTGAATGTACTTGATCAGGTCGTACAAGTTGATTTGGTCTGCCCCGCGGGCATTTAGGACCGTGTTTGAGTCAACGATCCCTTGGTCGCCCTGAATCCTCGTCAGCACTTGTTTCTCCACCCGTGGATAGCATCTTTCTGACCCTCTCACCTTTACACCAAGCAAAGCATTCAAACACTCGCTCAACGACTCCACAACCTTGCCCAGCTGCGCAATCAAGACACGGTTCTCCCCCTTCAGCTTCTTACCAAACCGCTTCACATACGTCCCCAGCATCTGCCTGGCCCTCCTCAACTCACTCAACCGGATCTCCGCCGCATACACATTAGCAACCGCATCCATAATATTATGAGCCTCGTCAATAATCACCACATTCCCCTCCAGCTTAATCCCGAGAGCATCCCTTGCACTTTTCTGCAGCAGCAACGGGTAAGGAAGCGTGACCACCTCCGCTCCCGGGATAACTGTCCTCGAGGCGTAATACGGGCAAACCTGCAGCTCCTTCCCAATTCGATGCAAGTCTTCGATATCCGGTATCGTTGCCAGCGCCGTGTCCCGGAACTCATGCGTCTGCTTCAGGTTCTCGGCGTTGGGCATGAAGGAGCATTTGTCTTTGGTTTTGGACTGTTGGAGTTCGGTACAGCGGTCATTGATGGCTGATAATGAGCCTAACCGCGCAACGGAGGGGTTGATGCAGAGTTTTTGTCGGGAAGATAACGGGATTTGTTTGACCGTTTCCGTCGTTGGTGTCTCCTCGTTTTCGTTAGATACCATTTCAGTCGGTATGGAGGGTGGAAATGCAGGCCGCCGTAACTCGGATATGAACTGCGTCAACTGCGAGTGCGTGCGAGAAGTGTAGTAGATCTAAACAAGTCAGTCACCCACACCCACACACAAACATACCCAACCCTTCACATCACCACAATCACAATGCTCACTCACCTTAATCTCATCCCTCCCCCCCTCCTCCCCAACTTCCTCCTCCTCCTCCTTCTGTCCCCCACCCCCCAACCCAACCCTCCTCATCAACTCCCTCGTCTCCCTACTCAACCCATCCCCATCCTCCCCCCCGCCATCACCACCACCACCAGAACCCCCCTCCCAATCCCCAACCAAAAACTCCCTCTCCTCATCCACCTCCCCCTTTTTCCTTTCCCCATCCACCCTAAGCCTCTTCCCCCTCCCCCCAAGACCACCCCCTCTCCCCAATTCCCTCTCCCTCTCCCGTTCCCGTTCCAACTCCCGTTCCTTCAATCGCACCCGTTCCAACCCCCCCTCCCTCTCCTCCCACTTCCGTGCAAGTTCCTCCCTCTTCCTTCGCAGCGCAGCATCCACCATCCAGTCTGGTTCGCCACGCATGGTGGATGCGATCTCCTCAAAAGAGGCCGAGTACTGGGACCGTTTGTGGGAGCGCAGCCAGGTGAGGGAGGCGCAGAGGAGCGAGAGGGATTTTCCCTGTTTTCTTAGCATTAGTCTCCCTCCTTTTATCTTTTTGAGGGCTGTGGGGGTAGGGGGTGGGGAAACTGGGTGTTGTGGGTGGAAGTAAGGGAAAGAGGATGGATGGGGGGAAGGTAGGCGGGAAGGGATGGGGGGCTTACGGTGCCGGTTGGGCTTTCGAGAATGCCGACTTGGCCGTCGCCTTTTTGGAGGATGTCATAGACGGTGCGCATGAAATCGAGTTGGACATCGTAGGGGGTGTAGGGGTGGTGGAAATTGATGGGTTCGTCGGGGGTCATTTTGAGGGGGTTGTCTTTTTCTGGGTTTGGATCTGGCTTTGTGGGTGAATTGCGGCGTCGATGTCTAGATCGGGCGTGGAAAACGGATTGGGACCAATGGCAGGTGTGGTTAGATGAGTTGTAGAAATAATTTGTTGTTTGGATTAATGGATTAATGGTTGATGAGTGACTGCCGTTGGATGAGATGAACCGGGTCACGTGAGCAGATTCAAGACATTCACGATTTGATGAACTCCATGTTGATGAACTCCATGGATATTAACCATAAAATGCCCAACGCCGGCCAATGCCTACTCCTATAAAATTACAATTATAACCTCAAACGCCTGCTACGAGCCCCCTAAGCTTTCAGCATGTCCATCTCATCATCATCGCCTGCCTCGCTAGGCTCTCCCACAGACGACGTCTCGTCGAGTCCCAGGCGCAAAAAGTCATGCTGCAGCGCCTCTTTGGCACTAATCCGCTTGCTTGGGTCAAGTTCCATGCAGCGGGAAAGAAACTCGATCGCCAGTTTCTCCTCACTGCTGAGATTGTCCTTCGAATCACCCCGACTGGTGCTCCACAAAATGATTCCCTCGAAGCTGTACCCGGACCTGCCGAGTGATGGGATGTTGGTCTCAAACATGCACCCGTGCAACAATGCCGCGTGCTGCATCCTCTGGCGCCCAAAGATGGTGGCGATCTCAATCATAGCCTCAACATCGTCGGCCGAATTGAAGAAGGGGAACCGACGGGACAGGATCGTCAAGAGAATCACACCGACGCTCCAAACGTCGATCTTGGTGCTTTGCTCGGTGCACTTGAACAAAACCTCGGGGGCTCGAAAGCCACGCGTGCCAGCGCGGTTCGCCCGGCGCGACGGCCGGGTATCTTCCTTCGGATATGCCTTCTTTAGCTCCGGCTTGATCAACGGCTTGAGCTTCGCTTTTCGTGTCGCGGGGTCATCGTGGCAAAGGCATGGTTTACTGTCATAGCCTTCCCGTTCCGCCAGGCCAAAGTCAACCAGTACGCCCCGCCGCGAGCTTGGGTCGTAAAGGAAGTTGGTGGGTTTGATATCTCGGTGGAGAATGTGATGGGCGTGCACACTCGCTAGGGCAGAGAATAAGGACCGGAAGTAAATCGCCATATCCGGTATCGTCATCTGGCGGAAATAGTCCCGGAAGTCGGCGTGCCGAAAGTAAGGGAGAATAGCAACGACCTGATCTGTCGAACGGAAGGCAGTGATGAGCGGACAAACCGAATCGCAGCCCCGTAGATCATGTAGGAGTTCGAGTTCGTTGAGGATACGATTAGGCGACGACGTGACATATATCTTCTTGATCGCGACATATGTCGGCTTCCGAAGACCTCCGCCACCGAAAATCGGCGGGACCGCCCACCTGTCGTAGTTGTCCCTGTCCAGATCCCACGAGTTGTCATATTTGTCGTAAGCGAGATCCTGGGCCTTGTATACGGTGGAAAAGGTGCCTGCCAACAAGTTAACATAACCGCCTAATAAAAGATGAATCCAACAAGACAATGAAGAGGACGAACCTTCGCCAATTCGCTTTATCAACCGGTACTTTTGCCGGAAACCCGGAAAGGCATCTTGCAACTTCTCCATGTCGTACTGGACCTGGTTGCTCGACGCGGCCTCGTCCTCTGAGCTCTCTGATTCCTCGGATTCCTGGGCCTCTTCTGCAAGCGACTCAGTTTCTTGCTCGGCCGTCTCGTCCTCGTCGTCCTCTTCTTGATGCGCCTCTTCGTTCATCTCCGTGTCTTCCGTAGACGGCGCGTCCTCGTGGATCCGGAAGGAATCGTTCTCGTTCCAGAAGGCATCGCGACGGCGGGTTGCTGGCACCGCTGTCGCCATTATTGGTCGGCCTTCGTCGATTGTCGCGAGGGCGCAGAGTGAGACCCGTCAGGGGAAAAAAGGAACAACGCTCCACACGGCCCGGCTAGAGCTAGGTTATTGACAATGCATTGAGTTCTAATCCCTCGTCGAATGGGAGTAATTTTGGCTTCGAAAGCCGGTTTAGAAGCAGGGCGAGGCCAATTTAAGGCTCACCAAAGTTGCTTCGTCCTTGCAAGGTTCGCAAATCGGAATTGAAAGACCTCACCTCCACACTGCAGCTTCCAGGCTTCATAAGGTTCTGAAGGAAGGTACAGTGGCTTGCAGGCGCTTTGGAGGGGCAATGCACGGACCACGGCACAGCAAAAGACGCGACCCCCTGCCACAGGACGCGACTGGCTGATGCTGGTTGGAGTCAACAAACAAATTGTACCGTTGCCAGGGGCCCCCACTTTCACAGTGGACATTGGAAGCCAAGCAGCCCGACAGCAAACAAATCGCAAGAGGGGCGTTGATCCGATCTTTCAAGGGCAGCCCACTTACGACAAAACAACAACAATAACGAACTGCGGGCAGCCGACAAACACGACACCGACAAGCCCCTGGGATACATTGTTTTCTCAGTAACACCCTAATTTTACACGAACTAGCTCCGCGACAAAAGAATATCCTTTTCGCACCATACACCCGACTGGTTCTCCCCACGATTCCCCGCTTCGGCCGTTGTCCGCCATGGACAGCGTCAACTTCGACATCAACGATGCGCTCAAGCATTACATGGGAGATCCGGCCGCGATCCTGACACCCGAGGCGGACGGAGCACTGGTCGACTGCGAGGCCGACCCGGAGGCGCTCGCCGACAATGCGCTGATTAATGCGGTGCTCAACCCGATCGTGGATGCCGTGGCCGAGAACCCCGATGCCATCACGCGCAGCAGCATTTTTGACTCGTTGCAGTTCCTGTTAAAGTGTGCACCCATCTCTTCTAACTCCCTACTACCCAACGCAAGCGCAAGAGACACCTCGCCGCCGGCAGCGGACACACCCACCCCTGCCCGGCGCGCGCGTCCTCGTCCTCGTCCTCCGGGTTCTGGCACCACAGAAGACCGCCGTGGAAACGATCCTAATTCTGAGCTGTTCAAACAATCCAGGTACACCTCCTTCCTTTCGGCGCATGCTCTGAGCAAGATCTTTGACCTGATCACCTCCGGCCTGGCCACCGAGGCCGACGTTATCCACAATGACCTCGAGACCGACGAACAGGAACTCATCGCCCACCACAAGCAGCTGCTGGAGATGTATGGTTTCCTCCTGCAGTGGACCATCGCCGCCGTCGAGACCAAGGCTGCCGAGAAATCGTCCACTACGGTACCCGCGAGGGCCCGCGGCAAGCCCAAGGGCAAGAAAGGTACCGGGGCTGACGGCGCCTGGGACTCGTCCACACAACTAGAGGCCGCTTTGAACACAATGTGCAAGGCGCTGAGGTTGAAGCTGGGCAAGATCTTTCTTACGACGTCCGAGCGCGATACCTTCATCTCTCTGCTGACCCGGCCGGTCTATATGATTCTGGAGAGCGAGCAGCGCGTCAAGAGCACCAGCATCCGCATGCACGCCTTCAAGGTGCTCTGCATCGCGGTCAAGCACCATGGCCATGGATATGGTAGGTTGTGTGCGGGCGCCTGTTAGAGTGTGATGCTGACGGTGTCCAGCTGCCCAAATTTCCATCGTCCAGAACCTGACATACTTTGAACACTTGTCGGAGCCCATGGCGGAGTTCCTCCATATTCTGGCCGAGCAATACGACTACCCCCAATTGACCGACGAAATCCTGCGAGAGCTCAGTAACAAGGAGTACAATACCAACGACACGAAGGGGCCCAAATCGGTTTCGACGTTTATGGTTAAACTGTCCGAGTTGGCTCCTAGATTGGTCATCAAGCAGGTTACTCTGTTGGCAAAACAGTTGGACAGCGAGGTACGAGTGTTGGTCATTAATACCGGGTTGGAAGCTGACTTGTCCAGTCATACACACTTCGGTGTGCTCTTATCGAGGTCTTCGGCAACATGCTTGCTCACCTCAGCAAGTCCGACGAACGAGGCGAGAACCACAAGATGCAGATGAATGCGTTCTTCGACGTGCTGGAGGAACGCTTCCTCGACATCAACCCATACTGCCGATGCAGGACCATCCAGGTCTACGTGAAGCTGTGCGATCTGGACCAAAAGTTTCCCAAGCGGCGACAAAAGGCAGCAGAACTGGCTTGCCGCAGCCTCGAAGACAAGAGTAGCCATGTAAGGAGAAACGCCATCAAGTTGCTTGGCACCTTGATTCGTACGCACCCTTTCACTGCTCTCCACGGGGCGCAACTCGCAAGGAAAGACTGGCAGGAACGTCTCGACAAGGTTGATTCGGAGCTCAACGCGCTCAAGCCCCCAGTGGACGCCCCTGGCCTCGATGGGGACAAGGGCAATACTACTGTGGACCCCGAGCTTCTCGACGAGGCGACGCAGATCGAGTCGCCGAAAAAGCCGGTGGTCGAAATGACCGACGAGGAGAAGATTGCCGCGGTGCAAAAAGCGCGAGAGGAGGCAGCAACCTCGGAGGCTATCGAAAAGCTCACTCTCACCAAGCGCTACTACAGCGAGGCGCTCAAGTTTATCGACGTACTCCACGACTCTACCAACACCGTTTGCCAGCTCCTCGGGTCCAGGAACAAGAGCGAGGTGATTGAGGCCATGGACTACTTCGAGATCGGCGATGCCTACAACATTGAACAGAACAAGGTCGGCATCCGCCGCATGCTGAGGCTGATCTGGACCAAGGGGAACAGCGATGAGGGCAAGGGCGTGCAAGCGCATCTCATCGACTGCTACAAGCGTCTGTTTTTCGAGGCACCGGACAGCTTCAGTCCTAATGACGCGTCCAACTACATCGCGCGTAACATGATCAGTTTGACGTTTAACGCCACCCCGGCCGAGTTGACTTCCCTTGAACAGCTGCTCAGTACCATGATGAAGCAGGGCATGATTCCCGATCTCGTCATTGGCAAGCTGTGGCAGGTGTACGGCGTGCACAAGCGGGAGATCTCGAAGAAGCAAAGACGTGGCGCCATCATCGTTCTGGGCATGCTTGCGACGGCGAGCCCCGAGATTGTTGTCGGCGAGATGGAGACCATGTTGCGCACCGGTCTGGGATCCCATGGGCGTTCAGACCTCCAGCTGGCCAAGTTCACCTGTGTTGCCCTCCGCCGCATCAACCCTACCGGCCGCCAGGCCAAGGAATCGGCTGCGAAGTTCTCCCGCCTCCAAAACGACCACGCCGTGCTGCTGAGGCTGGCTTCGATTACCGAAGTGCCCAGCGACAGCAAGGACTGGTATGGCGTCACGGAGCAAGCTATCAACGCCATCTACACCCTTTCCAGGCACCCCGATGTCCTCTGCTCGGAGATTATCCGACGCAAGACGAGGGCCGTCTTCTCCAACCCCATGTCTCGCCCCGTCTCACAGCCAAACTCCCGGCCCAGTTCCCGCGATGAAACACAGTCGGTCCCAAGCGCTTCCTCCGAGAGCGGCGACAGCGACCACACAGTCCAGCCAACACAACAAGTGCCCGTCAGCCCAGCCAAGAAACAAAACAAGGACGACACTGTCGGTCTGTCTCAACTCCTCTTCATCGTCGGCCACGTCGCCATCAAGCAGATCGTCCACCTAGAACTCTGCGAGCTCGACTTCAAGCGCCGCAAGCAAGAAAGAGAAAAAACAGCCGCCGCCAGTGCTTCTCGCACCTCCCTCGGCGCCAGCACCTCCAGCCGCCGTTCCGCCTCCGCAGCCAAGGACAAGTCCAAAGTCGAAGACGAAGGCGACGAGCTCGACCTCATCGGCGGCACGACCGAAGACGATTTCACCGAAGCCATGGGCCACATCCGCGAGCGCGAGCTCCTCTTCGGTCCCAGCTCCCTCCTCGCCCTCTTCGGCCCCATGGTCAGCGAAATCTGCGCCAACAACACCACCTACCGCGATCGCAACCTCCAACAGGCCGCCACCCTCTGCCTCGCAAAACTGATGTGCGTCTCCTCCGAATACTGCGAAGCCAACCTCCCCCTCCTCATCACCATCATGGAACGCTCCACCGACGCCACCGTCCGCAGCAACGCTGTCATCGCCCTCGGTGACATGGCCGTGTGCTTCAACCACCTCATCGACGAAAACACCGATTTCCTCTACCGCCGCCTCGCTGACCCGGAGCCCATGGTCAAACGGACCTGTCTGATGACGCTGACGTTCTTGATCCTGGCCGGGCAGGTCAAAGTCAAGGGCCAGCTGGGCGAGATGGCGAAGTGTCTGGAGGACGAGGATAAGCGGATTGCGGACTTGGCGCGGATGTTTTTCACGGAGCTCAGTACCAAGGATAATGCGGTGTACAACCACTTTGTGGATATGTTTAGTCTGTTGTCGGCCGATCGGAGGATTGAGGAGGAGAATTTTAGGAGGATTATTCGGTTTTTGCTTGGGTTTGTTGAGAAGGTATTTTCCCCTCCTTTTCCCTGTTCCCCCCTCCCCCTCAACCCCCGCTTGCGTGATACCCAAAATCAATCAGAGTAACGGACTAATCACTAATGGTGAACAGGACAAACACGCCAAACAACTCGCCGACAAGCTGGCTGCTCGTCTGCCGCGGTGTGATAGCGAGCGACAGTGGAATGATGTTGCGTTTGCGTTGGGGTTGTTGCAGCATAAGAATGAGGATATTACGAAATTGGTGTCGGAGGGGTTTAAGGTTGTGCAGGCTTCTGCGTAGACGGGGTAGGGTGTGTAATTAGTTGTCGTGAGGAAGGATTGGATGTTGGTTGGGTAGGTGAGGAGGGGATGTGGAGTTGGGCGTGTGGTGTTGGTGTTGGGTGGGTGGGTTTAGATACACGGTGGGTGGATGGATGGATGGGTTGTTGGTGTATGGTATTTATGATTCCCATGATGTTTGTCTATTCCCGTGAATTGAGTTTTGCTTGCTGCTGATGTGTAAACACGGTTGTCGCTTACTAAATGTGTACGCTGAATGTTTATTGCGTAGATCAGGTTTCGGTGTTTTGCCTATATGCCGATTTATTTATTTATTTTAGCTTTTTTTTTTGTTCTAGTTTTCCCCTTCTTATAACCATTTTAATTTCTTACGCATCAGGTTCACCCCCCCCGATTATTACAATCTTATCACATGTCTGGAACAACTGTGTAAATAGTCATAATAAACAATAACTCGCAGTGCGGCAGAAAGATTTTCCGAAGTACGAAGTATCCGAAGCCCCTTAAACAATTATTTTCTTGCATCGCACCGACTAGGTCGAGAGTACTTCCCCTCCCAACGTATCTATCAATCCCTGTCATAGGGAGGATGTGAAGAACTAAGGAGACGAAATGAATCACTCATCAGATCACGCGAATTGATGTTCCGATGAACTGCTTTATGCCAGCCATGATTCATCAATGCTACGACAAATATATACACCCCTCGGCCTGCAATAGAACAGCCCGTTCCCAAATCCAGTTTCCCCATGATCATGAACCCACCCCACACCCTCATTTACTCCTCCGAAACCTTCGACGGAACCACACCAAACGTGGGCCGGACAAACCTGTCAAATTCGTTAGCAATCCATGTTCGCCATAACAACCACAACCCCCGGTCCTCTCTTCAGCTAGTAGGGGGCAAGCGTGCAGGGAACTCACCGATCAGAGTGATAAACCTTGATATTATCACCCAACAATTCCTTCTCCCGCGCCTGATCGGCCAAGTGTCTCCGGACCTGGTCGCGGTCTTCCTCTGCCTGGAGCAGCGGGATCAGATGGATGCGGGCCCACATCTTTTCGCGGGCGAGTTCGCTGGGGACGTGTTAACGATGTATGTTTCTCGGCGTGGTTTGGGGGAGGCGGAGGGTATCTAGTTGGGGAAGGAGACAGCGGGTACGTACTTTTGCTCACGGATTCCGACAACCAGCTTGTACCAGCCGTAGAGCATGAGGACGGCGCCGCCTGCGGCGAGGGGGCCGGGGCGGAAGAGGCCGCGCGATGGGAGGTTGCGCTGGGAGGCGTGTTAGCTTTCTGGGGTGTTGATGGGGTGAAGTGGTTGGTCTGGCGTGGGCTGAGTCTGGTGTTGAGTAGGCGGGTGTATCCGTCCTAACACCTAATACACCTTTTGGCCACTCCGCCGGTTGCGCCGGTGGCCGGAACCGTATCACCGTCGGGGATGGGGGCCTTTCCCATACGTCCCTCACACTGATACCGTCCGTCCAAGCCACCATGTTTCGTCCGAGTCCGCCTCTTCCGGGGACTTCCTCTCCCCCATACCAATCCAGGATTTCACCACCGAGCCTTCCATTCACCATCAGAAGCCCACAGCCAACAGCCACATCCCTTTCAACCACCCCTCATTCCCAACCTCCGTCTCACACCCCCTCCAACGGCCCAAACCCACCCCCCCCCCTCAAACCACAAACCCAAGCCTGCCCAACCCGCACAAAACCAGCTTCAATCCAGCACCAACCCCGACCAGACCCGACCAGACCCAACCAAACCCAACTAAACCAACAACAGAACCCAGCCAAGAAGAGAAGAAAAAAGGGATAAACCAACCTTGTACTGAACGGCCTCATAGCCCCCAGCGGGCGGCATATCCTGCGGCATGATGGGCGATTTGTGTGTATTCCTTCCCCTTGTTTCCTTTCCTCTTATCGTCAATTCCCTTCCCAGTTCCTCTTCCCAGTTCACTCGATCGATCGACCGACCGATCAATCAATCAATCCGACAACCCGCGAACTCGCTCGTAGATCGGCCCGGAGAATCGCAATCGAGGTCCGGTCGCAAGGGTAGTTGATCCGAGCCTTCGGTCGGTCGGTATGGAAGGTCGCGTGTTCTCGCCTGGTGGGATTGCCGTCGGGCGGGCGGGCGGGGTGTGTTGTCGTTGTCGTGGTGTTGTGGTGGTGGTGGGTTGGGTTGTTGTTGCGCGGAGCTTGAACTGGCTTGTCGGCGGTTTGAGCTTGATTGCGGATTCAAGGTGGGAGGACGAATTGTGTGGGTTTTGATTGGTTGGAGGGTTGGATGGTGGGGTGTGATTAGGTAAGTTAAGTGGGGTCCGACATCCCCAGCAGAGCGGACATGCGAGCACAGCACTGAAATGTGAAATGAGGAACTGGGAGAGATGTTTTAGATGATAAAGCAAGAAGTGCCAGAATAGAATGCAATATGCCCCTACGGACAAGATACACTACAAATAGGCTACAATCAAACAGGTCGCGGTCCATGCCCGACAACCTTAAAAACTCCATTCTCCCCTAAAAGTTGCATTCCGAACCATCCCCCCCCCGAAAATCCCCCCCCTCGCTGGTCCCAGAGGTATGTGAGGTAAAAAGCAAATAAAATCAAGAATCAGCCACTGGACTCCAATAAATCAATGCTCCTCCACCCGCCTTGGTGCGTGCAACATCCTCCCTTTGCCTTCATACACAGATGGCGACGCTTATCCCTTCTCAACATCCATAGCCCCCTCCTCCAACGCAGCATCAGCAACCATCTGCGCCTCCAACTCAGCCGCCTCCTTCTCAAAGCCCGCTTCAAACGCAGCTTCCAGCTCCGCATCGTCAAACTCCAGCTCGTCATCATCCCCTTCCCCGCTCGCCTCCTGCTCCCCCAGCTCTGCAGGTTTCTGTCCATCGGTGTCCCCGTCTTGCCCCTCTGACCTACTAGGCGTGGGCAATCCGCTGTCATCGCCACGATCACTAGCCGTAGCGGTGGCAGCACCGGCGACATATTCGTTACGCAGAGACGAAGCGCGCTGGCTCTGGGTGCGACGGAGTCGTTTGGCGGGTGTGCCGTTAACACCCCCTGTCTCGACAGCGACTGTATCGACGTCATTGTCGTTGTCGTCATCATCCTCGTCGTCGCTGGAGCGGCCTTTTCGTTTCGTGCCCGCGGTGGGGGAGGTTGTGAGGAGGGAAGAGTCGTTGGCGCTCAGGGGCTCTGGTTGTGCGTCGTCGACATCTTCGTCTTCGTCTTCTTCGTCGTCGATCCCGTCTTCATCCTCGTCGTCGTCGGATGATCCACTCGCCAGGAACTCGGCGAGTTCCTCGTCGGCTGAACCCCAGTTAAAGGTCTTCAGCCCGTCGATTGGCGAAGAGGAGCCATCCGGTAGCTCATCTGGTAACAGACCCGGTTCAAGGTCGGTGTCATCCCCGGACTCCCCGGACGCCTGGCCGTTAGCAGACGACGACAGGAGTCTCAGCTTCAATGGCTTGCCATTAGCAAGCCGGCGGGTTTTGCTGCCGCTGCCATCTGCGTTGTCGGTATCGTCATCCTCCTCATCCTCTTCGTCATCGTCGTCCTCGTCTTCCTCACTTGGGATCCCCCCCGGTGCGGTCCCGTGTTCCCCGACGATGCGGGAGGTGTACAGATACGGCGTCTCGTCGACAGCGGCCCACTGCGTGAAACAGGCGGCTAGCCACTCCTGGCTGACAATCTTGATGTGCGGTCGGCGTCGTGCTTCGAGTAATTTGTCCCTGCCTGGTTGCGCCGCGTTGACCACCAGGTGCGTGACGTCTTTGCTGATTTTGGGGCGGAGGTCGGCACCAAAAGAGATGATTTGTAGGCCGATTTCGGAACTGTAGATATCAATCCCTCGGGGAAGCACGCCAGACAAAACAATCTTGAGGCCTTGCAGGACTGGAATCTTGAGATCTGAGAGGATCCGGCCAGCGTCAGGGACCTGGGCTAGGACGTCGTTGTTGGATGCTGGTTGTGATGCTTGGCTTTCGTCGTACTCCGCAAAGTAAGCACGGTGGAGGGAGGCGAGGTGTTCTTGGAGATATTTGAGTTCTTCGTCATCGTCTTGCAGAACATGATGGCGTTGTGGTGGTGGAGAGGAGGCGCGCGACTCGGAGCCGTCGTCGGACTGCACGGTGGCTTTTTCAGCCTCTTCACCTTCGCGGTCGAGCTTTTCCTGCAACATCTGCAGAGGCCGGTCGTTTATTTGCTTCTCAAACTCCCGCTCCTGCTCCTGTGCCTGTTGCTTGAGCAAGGTGCTGTCATCACCGCCCGCCACGGGCTCACTCGTGATCTTCTTGTCCTTTTTTGTTCCCTTCGCAGCGGAGCCAGAGGTGAGCAGGTCGTGGCGTTTTGGTAGGAAGTTTGAGTTGATATCTCCAATGCCCTTGAAAAACTCGTACGGGGACACCTTGATCAGGTTAGGTCTGTTGCGAGGCCACACGTCAGACCGGTCGTCGATAATGACAACCATGTTGGTGCTGACGGGGAAGAGCCGTTGCAGGTTCTTGGAAAAAATGCTGCCGTTCTCGTCGCGGCTGATGACGCGGTTTCCAAACAGCTTCTTGTCCGGATCCACAACGCGAGCCACGTTCTGGGCGTACGCGCGGGTTCCCATGGTGTAGACGTGCAGTTCATACATTTCCGCAATCGTCTTGAGGAACTCCTCGAGCCCGGGGCGCATCTTGATGTAAAATGAGCATCTCCTAGCTAAGTCAGAGGGCCCGTCGTCAAGCTGGAAACTTTGGATTTTCTTGGCGGCTTCGTGATTTGGGTTGGTAGGATCCTGTTGCCACTCGCCCACGGTCGGGTCGATACACGCCTGGATGATGGTCTGGTCCAGATCGACAACCAAGCTCAATTTCCGGCTCTCCAATAACCGGCGCTGCAGGTCTCGCTCCGTACGCTGAGCCCGGATCGCGCTGACGGTCAGGTTGGTGTGGTCGTGCACCATGTTGATGGGAGCCCGGGCCGTGTCGCGGGTCTCGGTGGCCCAGTTGACTTCGGTCATGTCCTTGCCACACATCGCGCAGAGGCCCTGATACTGAATTTCGTGGGAGCATTCCTCCACGACTTCCATCGCGATGCGGTCCATCACAATCTTTTGGCCTTCCCGAATGTGCCAGTTCGTCAGCTCCCCGTCGCTGGGCGAGGCCCAATTCACGATGGTTGTCTGCTCCTCCTCCCATGTGTCGCCACGGATACTGTCGCCCACTTCCTTAACCCACTTGAACGAGTATTCCATGAGGGGTTCTTGTTTCTTGATTTTATTGCCAGGTTGTTTAAGCAGTCGGACGACCGTTATGGGGTACCGTAACCGGTTCCCCAACCGGACGGTTTTCGCCATGGCGTCGGTGGGTTCGGACCCAGGTCGAAATGTTGAATCGGTAACTCTAGGGTTTCAATCGTGCGCCAGGCCTGAAAAACGAGATCAAAAACCTTCTTATCAGCGACGTTCCACGATGCAACCGACGCTTGACAGTTTCTCCGCGCCAGCGTAACAGCACACAACAAAGGCAACTTACGCAACGGGCTCCCAAGACGTCAGAAAATCCTTGACCCGATGGAGTGGCACGCCCATCGCGCAGCGGCGCGCACCGAGAAGAAAAATGTTGTGTGGCCACCAAATAAGGTAGATGGCTGCGATTGCCGTGGTTCCGCGCGCGTCAGTGCTGTCGCGAGTTGGCGAAAAGCTTCCGGTTGCAGCGGGTTGCACGAGACAAAGCCGCAAAGAAAACGTGGGGCACTGTCCCCAATTGGGGTTAGCGTAACAGATGCCGGCGTGGGGCACAGCAGTTTGGAGGTCCAAGCTCCAAAAGCTCTTGCGCCAGAAGTGGGGCAACGGCCTGCGGCTCTCGGTTGAAGAAATCCAGGCCTGCCAGTGGCGCCGAAAAATAAAACGGTGAAAACCGGGCGGGTCGGAGCGTATTAACGGAAGACAAGGTTGTAAAAAACAGCGAAAGCGCCGGGACCTCTAAGTATGGACAGTCCGATTATCGAAAACGTGGGGTGATGTAATCCCGGGATTTGGGGTCGTGGTGGATTGTGGTATTGGGCGCACTGACGAAAACGACCTTTGCAGAGCAATGGGGCAGATTTTGGGCGGGCTGAGAGGCCCTTTTGTACCTTTGCGACTGATCCGGGTTGCCCACCTCGATCCAGCCAATCTTGGCACTGAGCTCTTCGACCCCTGCCCTGTCGTTTGCGGGGTCATGTGTGGCTCACGCCTCAGCATGGTGAACGAGGCTTGCTGACTCGTGCAAAACAGCCTGTCATGAAATTTGGAATACGGAAACGCAAGGAAAGAAAAGGAGACAATGAGCGGGCCGAAAGACTTGTGAGGGTCTGGTCATCGGCGCCAAGCGGCCGGCACAGTCTTTGACAAACCCATGGCTGTGACTGATCAAGAGTCACTTGGTTCATCAAAGGCCGTGTGGCGGCCAATCAGGTATCGTTTTTCCATCCAGGGTTTTGACTCAGTGTGGCGTTTGTAAGTCGCGACATTCACCGCCAACCTCCAGGCACCCCAAGTACCTTTCAAGATACTTCAAGGAAACGCCCTGAAGTCAAAGACTCTTGAGCAGGCTCGGTGGTGTGCATTTCAACCTGTTCCCTTAGCTCCCTTTAGGCGGAAGTCCAGGGCTATGTTCTGTTTTCTCGGTATGTTGTTTCCTAAACATCAATATTCTTAACTATCCTTCTTTTCTTCCAAAATAACTAACATCTTGAATCAGCGATTGTTTTTATAACCCCGCTGGAAAGCATGGTGACATTCAGATCAGAAAATGGTCATATTCCATTGTCAGAATTAGCAAACAAACTGAAAGGTGAAACTTTTCATGTTCTATCTTTTACATTCAATTTCGAACACGAAAAACTGTACACTGTACAGAAACTGCCACAGAACACTGGTGTGACCGGAGAGGTCAGGGCGGGCTAAAATAGTGAAACAACAATCACCTTTAGGCTACCTCAAGGAAGTATCTGGTTTTCTCGGGAAACAAGTAATGAGGATGGATGCCTAAACCTCGGGAATCTGTGTTGAATGTGTGACGCAACAAAGGGTAGGTACCGTAGGTTTACGGGATTAGGACTTGTGTAAATATTATCAAATCCCCGTAATAATGAAGAAAACAAAGATTAACATGAATATTACATATAGGTAGGTACAAGCAAACCTCTTTCTAACCTGCCCTTAGCTCGGAAGCAACGACAACTATGAGGTCAGGGGTATTTCATACCATGAAGAGTGAGAAGGAGACAAGGTGGGGTTGGGAAGGAACGAAAAAATAAAACAAGAAAGAAGGCTTTCCTCCTCATAGTTCCCATCCATCAAACGAAGCGAGGGACACATTGTCCCCTCCGTATCTTACCAGCCCCAGCATTCAACATAACCGTACATGTCGTAGCCGGCGTTAGCAAAGTGTCCCCCCGAAGTTGTCGATCCGCACCTGTCGTTTTGATCCTCTCAGCATCCCACATGACATACCCGCCATTCCCAATGTACACCGGGATAAACCACCCGTACAGCTTGCAATACCGGTTACGCCACATCACCGTCCAGGCATACGGCGGCCGGTCCCCCTCGGCGTCGGGTTCACCATCCCCTCGGAAGGACATCGGATCCCGACGGGACGCTTTCTGGACCCGAGCTGTGTGGACATCACATTCGTGTTCCTGGGTTTCGGGGCTGAGGACCGTGTGATCCGGATTCCCGCGGCCTGGATACACCGCTATACTCTTGACCGCCTTCGTGAACGCTGCTTTGTCATCGTCGTTGAAATCCAATTTGATGTGGAGTAGATGCGCGAGACCCCGTATGGCGGTACCAATTTGCATGTTCTCGAAGTGGTCTAACTCGTGAGGCGGAGGGGGCGGGGGGGTCATGACTATGGTTAGTCAAGCTCGGCTCAACTACTCTGCTGAGTTGTGAAAACGCAAACTTGCATTGGTCCGTCTTAGCATCCTGCCACAGACTATTATAGGGAAGGTGGGATCCCCTCCTTGCCAAGTACACCTCCAATGGCCCCTTAAACGTAGTATCTTCAAGGGTGCTTGCGAGCACTCTGGCATCAACGTCTACCGCAAAGAGGTACACGGTCCTAAACTGCTCGATCTGCCACGGCTCCCAGAGTTCCATAAATGAAAAATGGTCCGGGAAAAAGAGAACCCAATCCGAATCCTCGGCGTCACGGTTCTCATCCTCGCCGTAGAGCTAACAGGACATCTCAAACCGATACAGGCCGCGGGCAACGCGTCTGCGTTCGGAGAGGCTCAACGATGGACGCTCCATCTGGGAGGTCAGGGTATCCCCAGCGAGATTTTCCAAGGCCCAGTTCGTGTACAGTTTGGTAGCTGGTCGAATCAACGTGAGGTAGTCCTCCGCCATTAGCCGCACCTCGCCGTCCGTAATGGTCTCCTCAAGCCAAGGCGGCATGTAGCATTTGGACATCGCGTAGTGGGCGGTTTCGTACCGCTCGACGGCTTCCTCCCGCGTCTCGTCCGATGGGTTTTCCAGGGCGAATACGGCTGTCAAACGCTGGAGCGTACATGATTCTACGATGACGCCCCGAGTTCCCGTGTTAGGATATTCCAGAGGAGCGCTCGTTCGTTGGCTTGGTACGCGCGCCAAAAGAGGATCTGTCGCTGGACTTCTGTCGGGAGACGCAGCACAGGGCAAGGTTTGGGGGGGGGAGCCTTGAAGTACTCGGAAACAAAATCAGCATTATTCCTGCAGCGGGCCAGCCTGCGGATCGCTTCGTCGCTACAAGAAGGAAACGTTAGCAGGGCGATCCTCTAGCGTGTCGCGGGATCGTCGCAACAAGAAAAGGGCAAATGAAAACTAGCGATATTAGGCTATTAAGGGAAATATGATAAGCTTCTGGTTGAGATGCAATAAATTGTAAACATACGACAAGGGAGCACAGCCGGTGGGTGCCGAGATGGGCATGATGGCGAGCTGGGGGTTGTTTAGGGACTCGGGGGCTGCAGCCATTCGCGTCCCCCCGAAAACTCTCAAGATTACGGCAATCGAGAAAACCGGAAAAATGTGTAGCCGATTGTATGTAAAATATGGCATACGCTGAGCATATGCCGCAGCCGGCGCTTCATGTTGATGGTGTTAGTGGAGATGGTGTTGTTAGTCGAAGCGGAAGGTTAACTGGATCACAACCACCGACCACCAGAGCACATCACAACAGAACCCGCAGGATTATGTCAATGGCATAAACATGTCGGATTCTTAGGCAGGATCTACCCATTCTAAGAAAAGCAGAAGGGAAGAAACCCCCATATCCAGCTTTCACACCCCACGTAATTAGTTAATAGCCCATTCACCCGAAGCGCCACCTCTAATTATTCCAGTTCCAGTTCCAGTTCCAGTCCCAGATCCCCGTCCCAGCTACCCAACTCAACTCCAGCTCTCAACTCCGCCCTCTCATGATCATTTCCCCTCCACCCAACACAGCAGCTATAACGCCTTCCCATCTGGCAAACTCCTACTAACGAATCTAGGAAAACAGCAGGGGAAAAAGGCAAGCACCATCGACAGAGGGAGAATAATAGAAGCAGGAATAGATTAAAAATTCTAAAGGAACGAGTAAAGTCCTATAAGGATTCTGAAGCCACGAATAGAGTAAAGTAGGGATTCTAGAGAAGGATTCTAGAGAGGCATTCTAGAGAGAGATAACGTTATAAAAGAAACTCCTAGAAGAGAAATACCAAGGGACCAACCAATAGGAAATATATACCGCGGGAAAAAGGGGTAAGGTAATAAATATTTAGGTAGGGTTCCGTTCCCAAAGCAGCAACCAACCAACGCCAACTCATCGCGTCCGTCTTCAACAACCAGCGAATCCGGAACTAAAGAAAGAGGGAAAATAGGTAAACGGGAGGAGTAAAAGCCGGTAACACACACGCATTATGGTAAAAACCAACCGCGGAAAACCAACCACGACAACTCCAACCCAAAAATGAAGACATCGCACAACTTCAGGCCACCTTCCCAGCCTCACCTACTCACTCACCACCCTTCGCTCACCACCCTTCGCTCACCACCCTTCATTAAACACCCTTCACCCCCAACCCTGTGGTAGCTCCCGCCCCCGGCGCCCCCCCCAAAACAGCCACAGGCCCCCTCTTGGCCCCAACCCCCCCAACCGACATCCCCACCGCCCTCTTCACCGTCCCCTCCACCGACAAATCATCAATAGTCTCCGCATCGCCCCCGACAAACGTCCAGCTCTCTTCCTCGAGGTCATCATCATCTGGGTCGTAGACAATACCCCCTTCATCGTCCTGCCCCGGCTGGCCGGGACGGCGGGGAGAGAGAGGAGAGTCGGGACTGGGTCCGTCGGTGCCTGTGCCGGTGGCGGTGGTAGTGCGGGTCTTGCTCTTGCCTCGTTTGGCACGGATGAGTTCGGTGGCGTATTCGAGGTCGCGGTAGATGCATTTGATTGCGTGGTCGACGCCGTTTTCCTGGAGGAGAAAGCCATGTCAGTTTCATATCACAGATAATATACACACAGCCTGAAAACATCTCAGATCCCGACCGGATCCTCAACGGACCCGGATATCGCGAAACAGACAGGGGGGAGAGAAGGAAGAAGAGAGAAAATACCTTCCGAATCTGTTCCCCCAACGCCCGCGCCTTCACAATCATCCTCTCACTATGCGTCGCCTCCCACAGCGCGCGCGCAAACGACGTCGCTCCCCACTTCTTCAAACAAATCCCCACCCCCAAATCCTCCACCCGCGTCCCAAAGAAATACTGATCCCCAAAAAACGGCCGAATCACCGTTGGAATCCCGGCCCGCAGACTCGATCCCGTGGTCCCACTCCCTCCGTGATGCGCGGCGGCATCGATTTGCTTGAACAGCCAGTCGTGCGGGGCGGACTGGATTTGGAAGATCTCGGGTGGGAGTTCGGGTTCGGGGGTCTTCGGTTTTTCTTGTTGAGCGCTCGCGGGTTCTCCTGCGGCGGCGGCGGCATCGCGGTCTTTCTTAGTCGGCAACCGATCACTCCACCCCTTGCTGAGAATACACCGCACATCGGCTTTCAACACCGCATCAATCACCTCCTGCGTCATCTTGGCCGGGTCAGGCACCAAAATCGACCCGAACCCGACATACACCAGCTTTTTCCCATCCCGCCGCGCCCGCGCAATGAACGCCGCCAGCTCCGGAGCAGGCTGATATTTCTCTGCATTCCCTTCGTCTAGGAACCAGTACCCCGTCACGCGGATCCAGTCGCTGTAGTCCAGCGGCGGGGGCACGACGTAGGGGGAGAAGTTATACAGGAAGGGCACCTTGTTCATTTGTAACTTCTCAAGCGAGGTGTTGGGCAAGCCCAGATGCCGCCGACGCCAGCGGTTGATTTGGTGCGCGGTGGTTTTCCAAAATACCGTCTCGAACATGACGTAGGTGACATAGTTGTATGCCCCGCCCATTTTCTGCCCAGGCATGATGAACGCATGCGGGTACGCGCGTGTACGCGTCCACGGCATGGTGAAGGCGCGGAAGTACGGCACACCCAGGGCTTCAGCGATATGGATCCCCGCCATCGCGGAGGGGGATTCAATGACGAGATCACTCCCCTGGCAGGCGTTCCAGGCGGTCACGAGCAGCTCGTCGAGCCAGTCGCGCATTTTGGCGTTGGCCTCGCGGAAGAAGTTCAGGGTGAACGTGCCGTTTTGGATACACAGCTGCATCAGCTCGGCCGGGTCGCCGCCAACATACGCGAACTCGATGCCGTGGGACTCGATCCAGGGCTGGAATTCGCCGTGGGTGGCGATCCGCGGGCGATGACCCTCTTCCAGCAGCCGCTTGCACAGCGCAATGTACGGCTGCACGTCGCCGCGCGAGCCAATAGTTAAACAAGTAATGCGCATCGAATGAGCGGGTTTGAAGTTAAGGAACGAGGCCTTGGGGTCATCAAACAGAATAGTGGGAGCTTCCGAGTTAGACGATGGCTCGCGAGGTAGTTCGACTTCATGGTCAGCGAACTCTTCGGTGCGCGCCTTTTGCAACGCATTGTGTTCTGCCACAGCCGCCTGCGCATCTTCCGATTCCACGTCATCCGGGGCACCGTGGTCCTCCAGATACCGGGCCTCTTCCAAACTCTGCAGGATCGTAATGGCGCAGTCATCCCGAACATCCGCCTTGTGGAACTCAAAGAACAGCTCCTCGTGCCGCGCAATCACCACCACCAACCCGGCATACCCAAACCGGAAGCCCTTTTCCTTATCCACCGTCTCGATATCCCGCAACGGCAACACCAACTTGGTGCGCGTGCCGGGTAACAAGCTGCGGAAGCAAAAGTGCCGGTCACTGATATAAATCTTGCCATACAACGGCAACACGCGCATCATATGGCCAAAGTATGCCGCCCGGAGCTTTTCCGTCTCGGGCAGCGCAAAGTGCGCCTGGAACCGTGCCTCCGAGATAGCGCGGTCCTCCGGGTCATACTCCCCGCCAACGCCGTGCCCCTCCTCGTCATCTGTCCTGAGTTCGGCCGGGTCGTCATAGTGTTTCCCCCCGCCCTTCCACATGCCAGAGACCTTCTCCACATACCCCATCGACTCGGTGGCTAGGAGCGTGCTCATCCGGCGCGAGTGCTTGTCGAGGTACCCAATGAGCGCGTTGGCTTTGCGGAAGGGATACACACCCACCGTCGCAATGCTTTGCAACGTCGGAGTGGTGACGGTCCCGTCGGCTGCGAAGCCGTCGCCCGAGTGTGACTTGGTGGACACATGGTGAGGTTGTTGCCTGGGTACCATGGAAGTCGGCGTCGAGGAAAGCGCCCGCTGCGCATCTTGTGCCCGACCCGCCCGCTGCAGCGTCGGGCTATGAAACACGTCACTCCCCTGGAGGATCTGGCTCGCTGACGGATCCTCGCTGCTAGCCGACGCTATCATCCCCGACAAGCTTGCCTGGCTCGGGTCATCCATGCTTTGGACATACGAGTCCATACTCTCCTGTCGCTCATGACCACTCGCTCGCTGCCGGCTCCCCGACCGCCGACTCGTGCTGGAACTAGCCCGTGCGTGGCGGGACTCGGAGTGTAGCGGGCTGTGATGGTGCTGGCCGTCCGTGCTGCGGCGGATGAAGTGTTGGAGCCCGTCGAAACTAGTACGCGGGCGATCCGCACTCGCCCGCGGACTTTGCGAAGGGCTGTTGCGTAAGGGAGAGAGCGGAGAGAGCGGAGAAAGGGTGGCCTTGACGCCTTCGCTGACCTTGCCCCTGCGCTGGGTCTGGCTGGACGGCGGCTGGTCTCGCGATCCGCTTCCGCTCGTTCGTTTCGATGACTCCCCGCTGGGCTCGGCTCGATCGGTACCCCCCTTGGCCTGGGGTGTCGCGTCCTCTATGAGAATCTTGAGGACGTTCATGGGCTCCTTGCCAAAGCCGAAGAAGGAAAAAAAGTATTCGTCGATGGCATACGTCTCGTCGTTGTCGATGACCCGGATCTTGCAGGTATCGGCAAAGTCTAGCATCTGGGCCTCCTCAATATCGATGACATTCTGAATCGGCAGCGAGATCTTGACACTGTCTCCGTCGTTGTGCGACCGGAAGATGACCCGCTGCAGGCTCTTCACCCACTCCTTGGCGCTTTGTGGGCTGTCGGCCTTGAAGTAGTAGGTGCGGTTGTCCGTGGTCACGGTGAAGTTGATCCCTTCCTTATCCTTGTCCGTGATGGTAGCCGAGATGCCGTAGCGCAGGTCGATCTGGCCTTGGGGGAAGTAGAGGTCTTGGGGGTCCCGGTAGTACGAGAACACGTCACCTTTGAGTCGAAACCAGTACCGGTTGTACTTGGGGTTTCTCTTGCCGCACTTGGACAGGTAGCCGGATTTGGCGACTTCCTGCTGTTCAGAGTTAGTTTTGGGCAGCCCATGACGGTGAACATACGAAATGGGGGGTGCTTTATCCACGGGGAAACATACCGACTTCCTCGGCAAATACGCATAAAACGCAATATGCCGTGTCGTGATATACAAGTACCCCGTCAACAGCACATGCTGCAGCAACCAGCAAGGGTACTCCTGAATGACCTCCTCGGGCCGCTCAAACTGGAAAATATCCGCCAGCTGCAGCGCCAAATCCGTCGGACCAGTCTCCGCCGCAGCGTCGTCTCCTATCCTAGGCGACTCCTTCTCCGCCTCTGCCCCTCCGTCAAGATCAAAACTCTGCCGCGCTGCCATCTGCGCGCGGGCTTCCAGCATCCTGCTCATGACAGGTGCTGTCCGGCTCTCGGCGCGGGCGAGTTCGGCGCCTGGCGCCAGCTCAGCGGGGGACGAGTCGGACTCCATGGAGGTTGTGGTGTCTTCCCGCAGGGGGGGTTGCGCATCGTTCTTGTTTTTGCCAGAGCTACTGCCGCTCGCGGATTTCGACGATTTGATTTTGTCACCGAGACGAGCAAATCCAGGTACTGACTTGAGCAAACGACTCTCGGAGAGTTTTCTTCGATGGCTGCTGTGGTCAGATTTGTGACGGCTCGAGCCATGTTTCGGTAATATTGTCGTTTGCGCGAGGGCCTGTGATGATGACGATGATGAACTTGACCCCGCGGCGCGCAACTCCTTCGGTCCGGCCACTGTTTTCGCCATTGGGTTTTCCCTCTCGTCTTCTTCATCTGAACTGGGGCCACCTTCAAACCGTTCTGCGAAATCAGCTTGGCTTCCCGCTGCCGCGATCAGACCGAATATGCTCTGGTTCATATTCATGAACATCCCGCCCCCATACCCCTGGGGGCGCAGTAGCTCTTCTTCGCCCCCCGCCTGGTCTTTTAGGCGATCTGGGAGCTCCATCGGGGGGACGAATTCGCCGGCGCGGCGCTTTTTGAGCAACTTTCGCGAAACACGACGCACTGCGCGGTCGTCTTGGCTTGTTGGAGAGGTTGCGGTCGGTGGGGAGGAGGGGGGAAGCGAGTGCTGGGTTATTGTCGTATTCGTCGGTTCTTGGGTTAGAGGAGGAGAGCGTGCTGCGGTAGGTGGCGGTGCTGAACGGTCGGGCTCCATGGTTGGAGTGTTTCCCGAAGGGGACTGACTGTAGGTATCGTAGGAAGTAGGTATCGGGGTAGGTAGGTATCGAAGGAGGGCGGGCGAGAGGGTGAGGGCCCGGATACGTGAGGCTGGTTAAACTAACACCCTGCAGACCGAGATACGTGAGTATACGAAACAAATGAGTGCGCTTGTCGCGGCATTGAGGAAGGAGTGAGGCGAGCGCAATCCACTAACTAGCCTTGTTTGTGTGTTCGTCCTCCGTCGCGGCTTCGCAAGACGGGAGACAAGGTGCGGGTAAGCGGGAAGGGTGGGTGCCTTAGCTGCGGTGTACCTCGAGGGCGAGAATGGTTCTCGCAAGCGAAACGGGAGAAAGATATCGGATTGGAAGGTGTGGTAGTGGATAGTGGAGGTCGGCAGGCAGGTAGGTAGGTAGTGTAGGCAGGTCGATCGGTAGGTAGGCAGCAGACGCACGCCGGTTAACGATCCGATGCGTCGTCTTCTAGGCGGTTGAGGGCGGATGTTCTGCGGGACCGGGGTGCGGAAGAGTGATAAATTGCCGGATGCCTTGTAGTTCCGTCCGGCAGTAACGACACAGGATAGATGAGAACAAAGATGATAACCAGATCCGGCGAAAGTTTATCGAGTCCTCGTCGACTCGAGGCCCCGTCCACAGGCTGTGCACAAACTAAAGAATGTGGTTGGCTCAGGGCATGACTTTCCCCCGTTCTGTCCGTTCTCTTTTCGACGTTGTCACTATTGTGTTGCTGTGACGGTGTGCAACAGCGCGGGCAGTGAAGTTGGTCCGAGCCGCAGCGGTGCAACAACAGGCACACAGTCGGTTGCGATGGGCCGGGTGTGGTCGCCAAGTGGTCGCCTTTCGCAGGGGGTCCCAGTGCGGAACACGCCTGGTGAGCCAACAAGGTTCCGTGTGACGCACCACTCAGCTGGAAGATCCGCGCCGGGGATCCTGTCAAAAGAAGCCGTTGCCCTGGTTCTGGCCCATCAGATGATGGGGCGAAACGGTGCGGTGTGAAGAGAAGAAATATCCATTTCCACCTCGCGCCTTCGCTGATGATTTAAAATTTTCGATTTCCAATGATGGATTGATGGTATTGATGATGAGGTATTTTGCGATGAACACCTTGTGATGCTGTTGGAGGAAGCTGCGGCTCACTCTGAGCAGCGTCAAGCACAGAAGCGGGCGGGCCTCAGGTCCCATGACGCAAGAGCCGGCACTTGCCTGAGCACTGCTGACGAGCGGTGTCCATCACATGCAAGGCAGAACGGGCAAACCCGGGAAGTAATTCGGGACCTGGCGAGGAACGGAACTACATTCTGAGCAAATCTATTCAGCTATGTATTGTAAAGCAATATCCAACGGCCCCTGCTAATTATATCATCCGTTTGAAGTCTCGAACAAAACTCCGGTCCATTGTGGACAGTGACAGCGAGACATCCCGCTCGCCGGGATGAAACAGAAGACCCACAACCGGCCCCCACCCACACGTGCCGGGCCCCGTGTCTCCCATGTCTGAGCCGCTTATCGACTTATCGACTTATCAACAAGACCATAAACTAAGAAAACACATGGGCCCCTCACATCCACAAACACAACTTCCCGCTGGCATTCCCGCCCGCAACCCAATCCATCGTCGGATGAAAGTGCGCTACAGCAGGCACCGCCGTAATCCCATCCCCCCCCAACTGCGCCAGCTGCTCCCCGTCCGCGGCAAACACGTCCACAAACCGGTTCATATTCCCAATCACAAACTTCTGCATTCCATCCTTAGGACTGCGCTGCCACTGTGGTTTGAGAATCGTCACCCACCGCCCCGTCTGGTTGTTGTGAATCACCTGCTGCGCTGGCTTCATCTGCTCCTCCGTGAGTTCGGCGCCGGCCTTCCACCGCGACGCGTCGGGGAAGGAATAGATCTTGATGCGGTCGTCGTAGCTGGACGTCGCGATATGACCTGCGCTGCTCCAGCTCGCGTGGGAGACGGATAGGCGTGACTCGTGCGTGCCGAGCAGTGCGGGACCGCGGGCGTCGCCTTTGCCTTGGATTTTGCGGAGGTCCCAGATCTTGAGTGTGCGGTCGAGCGAGGCTGTTGCGAGGAGGTGCGGCTGCGCGGGGTGGAGGGAGAAGCCGCCGATCTTTTGGTCCGAGACGCCCCAGATTTCTGCTGTGCTGGCCTTGGTGCGTATGTCGTGTCGCCCAAGGGAGCCGTGGAGGGTAGAGAAGATAATCATGTTGGGATCGGTAGTGGGGATGTCTATCGCGCTGATCGGGAGGTCGTCGTCCGCGTCTGCGGGCGCCCACACTTCCGTGGACAAGCCCTTGTCCAGGTCCAGCTTGCGGATAGACGAGTCGTAGGAGGCCGTGTATACGGCATTGTCGTCGGTGGGCGAAAAGTGAAACGATGTGATGGTGCGCGAGTGTGTCTTGAAGGCGGATATTACCGGGTCGGATATCACAGACTCCGCGTCGTCATCGTCGTCGTCCCCTTCTACTTTGACGGGTTCTTGCGAGGCGTCAAACACGCCCATTGCACCCTCCTTGTCACCTGCGAATATGATGGGTTTGGACTCGGTCGGGTGGAAGCCCATGGCATACACGCGCTGTGGTGTGATTTTGATATCTGGCTAAGTTAGAGACGGCCCATTCCACGAGACCGAGAAAGGTAACGATGAACCCACCTTGGACATCCCACTTCTCGTATAGCTTTAGGCCGCTCATGCGCAATCTTACATCCTTCAAACTCTTATCCGTTGTCCCCTTTACGTCCTCATCCGTAAACGTCCTGACGCCCGCTTGCGCTCCCCGGACACTCAAGCCCTTCAACCCAGCCAATCCATCGAGACCGGCCTCCCATTTGCGACCCTCCACCTTGATATCGCCCAGGTTCAGGTCCCCGCTAACGCGCATTTTCTTAGCCTTCGCCTTCTCCGCTTCAACCTCAGCCTCGACATCGGCCTTGCGCTTGAGCGTCTCGGCATCGGCATCGAGCCCCGCTAGTCGACTGCTCTGTCGCGTGGGACGGGCAGGTTCGCGCTTTATGGGTTCCCTTTTTGCGCGGGGCGTGCTGGTGCGCTTCGGTTTCGGCGGGGTAGGCTTGGGGATGATCTTATCAGCCGTCGTGCTGATACCGCTGAGAATCGCGTTGTTGTTGGCGATGTTTTCGAGACGCTTGCGCTCGAACGCGCTGATGACGGGTTCTTTTTTGGGGGCCATGGTGGGGATTCTTGTTTCAATGGGGGAATTCGTACAAAGGAGCCAATTATGTACAATGGCTGGAGGAAAATGCCGTTGTCGATCGAACCTTTGCAAGAAAGGGGTGTTTCTTGGAACGACGCGAGAAACGACACGACAAACGCGACAGGCGCGAGAAACAAAAATCAATTAAACCAGCGCGACCCCCAATCGCGGAATCACGGGGTAACGGGGCAAAACTGTGGATCCCCATCAGTGGCTCAAAGTGGGCCAGTGGACGGAAGCGGTTGGTGGGGCGTGGATCGCATGGAAGGGTTCAGGAATTTTTCCGAGAGGGTCTCAAACAGCAACACCAAAAATTTCCAACTTGCATAGGACATCTTATGGCACATCTTGGGGTGCATTGGCTCCCCTCGCAAAGCCCGTCACCATGTCCACCACCCTAATGCCATTCTTATACCAAACGCGCACACTCCGGCAGCTGTCGTCACGGGCGGGCTTCTCGACCCCAGCTTTCCGCGCTCTCTTCCACGCCACGGCTCGAACCCATTACCCAAGACAGCTCAAGACACCCCGCGATTCCTCCGAAATCCCGTTCCACTTCCCACCGGAATACGAACCTATCGACGAGCGAAGCGACGCCGAACGAGATGCGGACTCGGGCGAGACCTCGACGATGACGACGTCGGAACGGGAGGCGTTCGACCGTATCTTTGAGGAAATCCGGGTCAAGCGGGCTCCTAAGCGTGTCAAGTCCGATGTGACCCCGTCGTTGGATGAATTCGCCTTCCCTGGGGTCAAATCATCCTCTATTCTCTCCCTGGACGACGAACCTGTTTCCACGGACTCCGTTTTCACCCCCCGCAAAGACACCACCTTGACTCTCCCCAGCGGGCCGGAGCGTCCACCGGTGCTCCGCCCGCACAGCAGTGTCAACGTCATCTTGCAGGACGCGGCGGATATTTACACAGACTCAACCCGACGCACCAAGTACCCCTTGGGCACGAAACACGCTCTCACCCAAACTGCAGCAGCCGCCGACTGGGAGAGAGCATTCCTACGGTTCCCGCCCAGTCTGCGTGAAGCGGCTCGCGTGTCACTGGGTCTCATGAAGGAGGACTCGAAAGAGCAAAAACAGGCGGCTGCGAAGGCGGCGGCCCAGGCGATTGGGCCGGATTATGTTAAAGAATCAGAATTGGACCATAAACCCGGGTACAAACTGATGGTGCAGAACGAAGCCATCCGCAACCAAGAGCGCGCACGGGTGGATGCCAAGTTCCGCGCGACCAAATCCGACTTTGAGCTGTGGGATGTGCTGGAGGAGGAAGTCTTTCCCCTTGTCCACAAACTCGGACTCGACGAGGAAGCTGCCGCGGAAACGGCCAAGCGCGGCAAGGGACGCCCCCGAGCGCGCGAGAAGTCACGGTTGGCGGGTATGGCTGCCCACGAAGCGTCGGCGGCGGCGGCAGCGGCAGCAGAGAAGCCCAAGCGCGGCCGCGGCCGACCAGCGAAGGACTCTTCCCAGCCGACCCCAAACACCGAACCACCACCACCCCCGCCCCCGCGGGAAGACAAACTCCCCCTCAACATCTACGGCCCGCTCTACCCCGCCTACCTCCTAACCGCGCTCAGACACTTCGACACGCGCTTCGCCCGCTCCTCCCCGCTCGCCATGCAAATCCTCCCGCGCGTGAAAGCCCTCGGCCCAGCCAGCTACGTCCTCGGCGTGAGCACGCCGTTCTACAACATGTTAGCACGCATCATGTGGAACCGACACGGCAACCCGGACGCGGTGTTTGATTTGTTAGCGGAGATGCGCACGTCGGGGCTGTTTTACGATCATGATACGCGCCGCGTGGTGGAGGCGATTGAGTCGTTTTTGGGCGGTGTGGCGCTTGGGAATTGGGGACCGTTTTTGAGGGAGATTGGGAGTTTACCGGAGTATGAGTGGAGGTTGAGGGTGAGGTTGAGGCAGGTTTCGTATGTGATTAGTAAACATATTGTTCATACGAAGGAGATGTTGGGGTAGGGTGTCGTCCTGATGGGGGTTTGGGTTAGCGGGGTGTCGTCTCGGTGGAGATGTTGGGTTGAGGGCGGTGGTTAATGCACCGCGAATGGGTGTTCCCGCTGGAGTGTACGATGTGGTGGTAGGTGTATGATACAGCCTCGCTTTTGGCAGGCGATGGATGATGATTGCAAAAAGCTAAAATGTACAGTGTATAGACATGTGACGAGTATGACACTTGGATATTAGACAGAGGACACAACCATTCCTTCATTCCAGAACAACCTCCCTCCTGAACAGCAGTGTGCAGATGGAGGTTGCCTCCTTGGAAAGCTGCTAGACACTTCCACGAGACTCGGCGTGGGGGTCGCGAGTGATTAGTAACAATAAAAGGCCGACGATCCAGAGTTTCGGGCTCGTGAACTCATGCGGGTGATCAAAAATATGTGTGTTTCTGATGCTGACTGACCTGGCCCGTTAGACCGGCCTGTTCTGCTGACCTGACGGGTTTGGCGACTTTGGTCCCGACTGAATGTTCGGATGACGTTGAAGCACAGCACGACAAACCCTACAATGGGTTTAGGGACAAATTAAGTGGGCTGGGGCTGTGTTGATTATGGTAGGTATCTGGAACGGGCGTTTGTTTATTGTTATTACGTAGGATTGGAATTCTTTTCGATTCTACGAATCTACGCTTCTCGGGGAATTTAGAAGCTGGCTTAGTACGCAGTGGCATGGGAGTGTTTGCAAATGCTTCATCTTGGCTCTTGGCTGGGGATTGGTGTCGGAGGCGAGGTCGGGGGGTGGTCGGGAGGCCACCTGCTGCGCCGCTTTGGGTTCGGATGAAGATTGAGAGGTTCGGCGTTTAGCTCTGCGTACAAGTTTTGGAATTTGGTTTCAATGCAGAGATGCATCATAGGTACTAATGGGTTAAGGTAGTCAACTCTGTGGATTAGTAGTTCTCGAATTATTCCTCAAATTCACAATATCTTCGACAAGTCTAGCAGATTAAAGCAGCAGAGCAGGCGTGTCCGGCTACGTAACCCCGGCCGTCTCACACCAGCCCGGCCCCGCGCGGCCGACCAGGCCACCGGGACAAGACGGCAACGGCACAGCCGAATACCCACTCCCCATCGACAACACACACTGCCCATTAGCCTATTACGCACATTACACACAACTAAGCCATCCGGATCAGTCAACCCGAGGCAAACCAGACCCAGGTCCGACCCAGCAAGCCGATCAAACAGCCCACGCCCAGCAGACAATCTATCACTGACGACCGACTGTGTCGGCCATGGTCCCGGGGAACTTGACAAAAGTCTGGGGAACGCGCATTTTCTGGGCGTGGGGGGTCAGAAACAAGGGTGTCTCGGGTACTACTTACACGACTGCTTCCCGCGGTTGAGGGCTCTTTTGGCCTTTTTGTGAGTGTCTTGGGAGTGAGAGGAGAAGCAATCTTTCCTTCGTCTGATTTGTTGGGCACATTCCTTCCTTTGACAGCTTGTTGGTGTCTTCCATTCATTCACTTTAGAAATCAACACACCACAACGGAACTGGCTTCCTCGGCTTCATGATCACTCACTTATTTTCCAAGTTCCCCGCTATCACCCTGTTCTTTGAGTTTACTCAATAACAACAACATAACATCAACTCAGCCGCCTTAACTAGTCCAAGAACCAACCGCAACCAACAACCACAATCACTTAACCCAGCTTAAAGCAACACTCCCAAAAAAACCATCAAAATGGTCCAACGCGCCCTCAGCCACCGCCGTAACTCCAACCGCACCCTCTCCGTCTCCATCTCCAACACCACCCACCCCCTCTCCAACAACAACAACAACAACAGCACCACCACAACCCCCAGCACCAGCCACACCGTCCAAACAACCAACACCCTCCCAATAATAGTCCGCACCGGCCCCAGCGGCGCCCACACCAACATCGCCGGGAATGGACGTCGTGAGTCGGGGTTACCGCTGTCGCGGCATCATTTGATGAGGCGGTCTAGTACTGCGAGTAGTGGCAGTAGTAGTAGTACTGCTTCTTCGGTGGGTGGTGTGGGTGGTGTGGGTGTGTGTTTGAGGGGGAGAAAGGTGGGGGATGGCGGGGAAGAGGTTGGGGAGGAGGTGATTGTGGAGGATGTTGATGAGGAGGAGGGGGAGGGGTTGGGGGTTCGTGAGGGGGGGGCAATAGCAGGGGGAGTAACGGGGGATGAGGGGGAGATGTTGGGGTGGATATTGGCGTTTGGGCGTGATGAAGGGCGAGATTGAGAGTAGGGATTTGATCACTTCTTGGGTGGACTTTTGTTTTGGAAATAGTTTGTTACGTTTGGGATTTGGACTGGGCGAGGACAGGGAATGTGAGATGGAAGCTGTTTGGGCATACCACAGGAAGCCTAGCCGCCTTCGTCGGTTGCCGCATTCATGACACTACGATAACACGATTACGATAGCACGGAGCTAGTGTTTATGTTCAAGAGATAACAATAAGTCGTTCAACTCCACATTTTCTAGTTACGACTTAGTAATTATGTGCTGGTCATATGATGTCCCACTGTGTGTTAGTCGCAGGGAATATCGCATTCCTCGGATTCATCCCGCTGCTCACAATGAGTGAGCTAACAGTGCTCTAGCCGGCTAGACACGAGTACCTCATCCAGGCTCTTATCATGTACTAATGTACATGTACCATAGCTATTCACTTGGTTCGAACCACAGACCTTTGTTGTCAAATATTCTCGAGTAGCAAACCACGAATTACCGCTCCTACCCGAACTAGGTCCGATACCGGCCTCTACTTCAGAAACAAGATGTGTATGAGATAGGTACCACGAAATACTTGGATTCCTTGTCACGACATCGGCGTGACGATTCCGGCAAGTGGGGCCGAGGCCCGGGCCGAGCACCGGGTCCGGGAAGCTCTTTCCATGAGGGTTACATGAGGGGTAAACCTCCGGGTCTACTTAAACCCAGTCTTGCCAGCCGGATTTCAGGGAATCACTTAGAGCTCTCAACTGTAGTTCTCAACCTAAAACATAACAACACAAAATACCAAAATACCTCCACAATTCCCCTCCGTGACCGACCCTACACCAAGTGACCAAAATGCCATCACCCTCAACCGAAGCAGGCCTCGCAGCCCGCCAGGCCGCCGAAGCCCGCTTCACCGCCAACAACCCGCTCTCTCAACAGCAACACACTGTCGCTCTCGGCTCGCTCCCCGGCGGCAACACCCGCAGCATCCTGCACACCTCGCCTTTCCCGCTGACCATGAAGAAGGGCATCGACTCGTATGTTTGGGATGTTGACGGGCACAGGTATGTTCTTCTGTTTTATCCTTTCCCTCTTCCAGATGGTTAGGTACTAACCCAGTCTAGATACCTCGACCTAGTCGGCGAATTCTCCGCCGGTCTCCTCGGGCACTCCCACCCAACCATCCGGCGCACCATCCAGAACACCCTCTCCCCAGAACAAGGCGAAGGCCCCGGCATCTCCCTAGGCGCCACCACCCCCCACGAACAAACCTACGCCGCCACCCTCTGCACCCGCTTCCACCTCGACCGTGTGCGTCTCACCAACTCCGGCACCGAAGCCAATCTTCACGCCCTCGCCGGCGCCCGGCACTACATGAACACACGCCACGGCAGTAGCGGTGCTGGCGGGCCTCGGTGGAGAAAGGTGGTTGTTTTCAGTGGCGGGTACCATGGTGCGGTGTTGGCTTTTGGGAATGGGGAACCGGCGGCGAATACGGTAGACAGAAAGGATTTTGTGGTTGTGCCGCGGTATAACGATCTCGCCTTAGCAAGGGAGGTGATTGAACGGACGGCTGGGGTGGCTGCGGTTTTGGTGGAAGCCGTCCAGGGCGCGGGGGGCGGGATTCCTGGGACGAGGGAGTTTTTGATGGGGGTGCGGGAGGCTGCGAGGGAGAAGGGCGCGGTGTTTATCTTGGACGAGGTTATGACCAGCCGGTTGGCGCCGGGTGGGCTTGGGACAGAGTTGGGGCTAGACCCGGATATGGTGACGTTGGGCAAGTATTTAGGCGGGGGGTTAGCGATCGGGGCGTTTGGTGGGAAAGAGGAGATTATGAGGGTGTTTGATCCGCGGGTGGAAGGGGGGTTGGCGCATTCGGGGACGTTTAATAATAACACGCTGGTGGTGACGGTGGGGAGGGTGGTGTTGGAGGAGGTGTATACGCCGGAGGTGTGTCGGGAGTTCAATGAGCGGGCGGAGAGGTTTAGGGAGAGGTTGGTGGCGGTTGCGAAGGGGTCGAGATTGAGTTTTACGGGGAGGGGGTCGTTGATTGGATTGCATTTTACGGAAGGGGGGTTGGAGGAGGTGAGGTGTGGAGAGGATGTGAGGGCGCAGGAGAGGGGGGATTTGAAGGATTTGTTCTGGTTTGAGTTTATTGAGGCGGGGTTTTGGACTACGAGACGGGGGTTTTTGTGCTTGATTCTCGGGACGCCGGAGGAGGAGTTGGATCGGTTTGTGGAGGCTGTGAGGGGGATTCTGGAGAAGCACAAGGATTTGATGATGTTGTAGGAGGTATTTGCCATCTTGAAAGCCCACGGCTCCAGTAAGCTTTGTTTGTGGACATGTATGACATATATCCGACTGGCCGGGTCAAACAGCATCAAAAGTTCCGGGGCACCTTTTGAACATTACATATAAAGGGCTGTGTTCAAACTTCGACGGTTTAAAGGAGCTATGGTTAGTGGAGGTTAAATAGTGGTTCTGGTAAATGCAAGGAAAACTCTACATCTGGCTAATGTTTCCAAAGGTTTGGCAAGAGCCTAGATCCACCCTACCTATGACGCACATAAAAAGCCCCTTTCGGGCCTCAAACACTCCCCTTCAGCAACCCTTGAGCTTCAAAAAGTTGCATGAACTCGCCTGCATACAAAGAATTATCCTGCGCTGCCTTGATGACCTCCTCAGAAATTGTCAAATCCTTCCCTCGCTTCTCAAACAGCAGGAGCATAACCTCATATCCATTTACTTGATTCCCCGCCGCGGCCTTGAGCACATTTTCCGACACGGCCAAGTCCTCGTCTCGCTCGAAAAGAAGCCGCATGATGTCGTAGCCATGCCGGGGGTTTCTCGCTGCTTCCACGAGCACCTCCTCTGATACGTGCAGGCTCTCTCGGTGCTGGAAGAGAACCTTCATGGTTTCGTATCCGCATCGAGTGTTTGCTGCCGCCGTCTTGACCACGCGCTCAGTGACTGGGAGGTTCTCCCCTCGCTGTTCAAAGAGAAAGCGCATTAATCGATGGCCATGCCAATAGTTGTCTGCGGCCGCCACGGCTACTTCTTCCGAGATGACAAGTTCTCGCCCCCGTTGCTCAAATAGAAGCTTCACGATATCGTATGCCTTTTCCTGATTTCCTGCCGCAGCCGCCACCACTTGTTCCGAGACCGGGAGGCGTTCCCCTCGCTTTTCGAAGAGCAGCTGCAGGACTCTGTACCCGAATTGATAGTTTGCCGCCGCTGCTTGAACCACTTCATTCGTTATGGGAAGCTTGTCTCCGCGTTTCTGAAAAAGAAATTGCATGACTTCGACGGGTTTCTCCTCTGAGAGGCATCCGGCGACGGCCCGTACCACTTGTTCGGAGATGAGGATTTCAGGTCCGCATTGCTCAACGAGGCGTCTCGAATCTACCGACTTGCTGCCGCTGTATTGGAAGGAGTGAACAAAACGATCTTCTAAAAGAGCCGATATGCCGTCCAATCTCTTCTGCTTCTTCTCAGGTTCCTCCTGGTATTCTGGCGCCACATCAAGCAGCTCTGTCGATTCTTCCAACCCAGCCCAGCTAGTCGAAGTCCCCGGGGGGATGGTAAATGTGAGAGCGATATGGCAGAAATGCTGCTCCAACGCATCAGAGGGCCTTCCACTTGGCACGGATGGGGCCGTGGTTTTGATAGTCGTAAAATGATCCTGGCACAGTCGAACGATGCTTGGCTTTGCCGCACCCTGCAGATGGCAGATAACGTCACCCTCCTGGACGGACTCGGAGAAGGGCCGGAATGCCCAATTCCATCCACGTTCGCCGTACCCCAGTGATTCCCCGACCACAGTGCAGTTGACCCAAATATGCACTTGACCGTCTGCATGATTTTCTCGGTCAACCCTCGTGACTAGTCCTAAGAACAGACACTTCCCCGTGATGACTGCCGTATGCCTGTCCGGCCATGTCTGCACCGTGCATAACGATCCAAAAGTATGCACAGTAGCCCGTCGAAAAACCTCATGCCACGGCACGGTGTATTCCGGTTGCAAGGCAGGAGCATCGAGACCCTCGGCGCTCAGACCCAGCAACGCATATATCTTGTCATGCTGGAGAGTAGCCCTGCATGAGCGATACATATCCAGCAGCTCGCCCATGGAGAAGACACCCCGCGAACCGGGCTCGTATTTCGGCCGATAGAGTGCATCGCGGATGAGCTGCACGACGGGGTTGACAACCGTCTGCAAGTCAACTTCAAGCCCCAGTTCAGCGACCCCCTCACAGAACGCTTGCCCATCAATCTGGACTGATCCACACATCACAACTACAGACCGCGCAACGCCCACTTCTTGGAGAATCCACATCCTCCGAAACCAATCCCTCTTCAACACCGTCTCACATCCACCACGGTACTCCTGCGCAAGTTCCTGCACCGTCGGACCCACCCCAGGATCATTCGCCTTTATCTGCGCCAGAGTCCTTAGTTTCCGCAACGCCTCGTCACCGCACTCATTCTCCAATGGCGCCCCTAACCAAACCATAACCCGCCCCGCCTGCGCATAAATGGTGCGCATAAGCGGAATCTGCTTCTCTTTTTCTTTATTGTCCTCCTGGTTGATACAGATGGCGTCGACCCAAAGCACCCGCTCCAGCTGTCGGTCGCGGAGGTGCCAGAGGGCGGAGTGGAGGTTTTCTGTCACGGGAAAGGCGTAGTTGTTGAGGGTGATGGAGTGGGACCTTTGGCCGGTTCCCCAGACGTAGGAGAGGGCTGAGTAGATGTGCGTTTCTCCGGTGGTTGGGGCGGAGAGGTCATAGGTGAAGACGGAGCAGGTTATTGGGGTGGTGGAGTCGAGATGGGGGAGGAGGCTGATCATGCGGGTTGTGTTTGGTGCTAATAGTGGTGTTGTTGAGTAGATGTAGTGGGACGAATTGTTGGGCGGTGGTTTGGATTTGCGGTGGAGTTGTGATTTCCATTTTTTGAAAATGGGCATGCACTGCATGTTGAGAGTGTCCCTACGAGATTGATCGGGACTACATCGATTCCCAGCTTAAAAGTAAGAAAATGGAAGGGAAGCAATGAATAGAAATTCCTGGAACCTCGCAGGTCTGCATTTGGGGTATATCAAGTTGATGCGAAGAGACGTCAGGTAGAGCCAATTGGGCATTTCCACGTAATTACGGGCACCTTGCCGATCAATAATTACCAACAATGTCTACGCCATCGCAGCACTAGCCACATCTCGGAAAAGTCGAACATTTTTGATCAGCCAGACGTTCGCGGGGTGAAAAGAATTAGTTTGAACTCCTCCAAAAAAATACGGAAGGCCTTCAGTAGCTAGGTTTCAAGAGGCCTCTTGCTTCTTTAGGAGTGATGAACAGTCAAACTGATTAGTTAGGTACTTTCACCCTGTGCCGTTATGCATATTCAGGATGTAGAAATAGAGCTAATCCCTGGCTGTCGATTTTCGTCAGATTACTTCTAATCTCGGCACGCAGGTAAATCGACGTTGTAAAAAGAACAACATAAGATCGACACACAAGCAACTATATGTGCCATTGAAATCGCTTAGAGTAACGACTCGTACAACACTTCCGGCACTTTTCGGCGCCCATGCCCGAGCTCCTGTAGTTTCAGAATTTTCTCCATCAGTTCTTTCGGTGCAATGCCGAGCTCATACTCTACGCTAGGGGCCTCGGCAACCTCCTCCAGTGTATCAAGGTATCCAGAAGTCTTCTCAACCAGAAGGAATCGGGGTACTCGAACTGCTCAATGGTAGGTTTTTCATACCGAAAAACGTACCAACAACCCCGAATATCCCCTACGCACACCGGACACCATTTCCCTCCTTGGCCGCCAGGATGCCAAATCTCGGAGCCCATACCACTAAGCCGCTGACTGGAACAAATATCCCCGAGAATATCGACTACACCTATTCCATACACGTCGACAACTCTAGGATGCCCGTTACGTTTGGTAAGATAAAACGGAATCTCATTAACCGTAGTCTCTATATGCAGCCAAGAGTCTATTGGTTGATATGCACTTTGTCAGAAACGCTGCACTGCTAATTGAGGGTTGCAAAGGTGATCGTATTGCTTCAGCTCGGTGTGTATAGCTCTCTGGCGTGCCAGAGAGCCGTATCTTATAGATCCTATCTGTGGGATCGCCTCCACGCCCTGGGACGCGATGCAACCGCGTCTTTCGAAATAATAATATTGATCGTCGCACATGTTTTGCTAGCTTCTCCCAAGGTGGGATTTCCTGTTGTCGGTAATTGATAAAAATTTAATTACAGAACATGGGTCTGGATCAGTGATGCTGGCCATGGAAACGCTATTGATGGCAGAATGATCGGCTTGATGTGTTCTTTCAAGCCTTTTGTCACTACACTTCGTCATTGGAGCCGTCCCGTGCGGGTAATGGCCATGTGGTGTGAACATGTGGCCGTGAACAAGGAATGTCATTCCCACCTTAATTAAACCGGTCTTTTGGGAGATGACCAAGGATCCTTGAACACTTTTGAAATTCCGCGTGCCGTTGAACACGGTGATGCATACCTAGAGTCGGTGAATCACAACAGTTTGTCGTGCATCGGCAGCGTGGCTCGCTGATCTAGAGGCCGGCAGGCCCAGGACAAGGAAGAAGCGCCCCGAGAGACTTTTCGTGTCAGTGGTCGCGATAAGGAGGTAAAAGATAGCATGAAAAATCTCAATGCCAAAGAACGAGGTGGGCGTCAGAACAAGTATGACAGCCACGAGGACGTGATACCGACGAGCTCGCCCGAGCCGAGGAACGAGACTCATGCGGCTCATCAAGCTCATCGGGGGCCACGTCCTACCAAAGGCGATCAAGATAAAAAACAGGTGCGGAAGATGGACTGGGAAGAAAGGGCACATCGAGAACAAGACGCCCAGGCTCAATAATTATTACACCACTACAAGAAAGCAGACCACACAAAGATCACAACATGATAGCCGGGGGTCACTACACTCGCCTGGAAAACACCATCGCCCCAAGCCTAGCGAGGCCTTCAGCCCATCGCCTCAGAAACATCAAGACCAACGACAGCGACACCACCAGCCACGCCATAAACAAGCCAAACAAGCCCTCACCATGACTGAACCCTACTACGGCCCACCCGACCACGACCTCGACATCTCTGACATCGAATTCAACCCCCCACCAACAACCCCGATCACCCCCAAGTCAGCACACCCTCAAGACGAACCCCAATGGCCTCTAACCAACCATGACCTCGACACCCTGGCGCGGTACCTCGCCGACAAACAACACCATTACCACGCTCAGCAGCATCTTTCCGTCTTGCAGCAGGCTATCACAGGGTTACAAGAGACACATCACTCGCTCCGGGGCGAGGTGGAAGGGCTGTTACGCGTGGCGTGTGAGATATTTTGTGAGGTGCAGAGTGCGAGGGTTTTACAGATGCAATACAATAATAACACCCATTCAATTACGCCCCAGCCTGATAGCCGCCGGCTTAATGGGCTCCAGCTCAACACTCATCAGCTCCAGTCCGAGACGCAGGCTCAAAGTCCGATAGCCCAAACCCATGGTTGGAACCAGACCCAAGATTGGGACCAGACCCAAGATTGGGACCGAAGCTGGAATCACACCGGCGGCCAAACCGGAGGCGACGCCATGTATGGGATACGGCGGGAAAAACGACTACGATTGTGGCAGCGGCAGCGACAGCGGCGACGGGAGTGTGGAGGTTGCAGAGTGGTGCGTAAGGTTCCGTGATGGGGCTGTGTTTGGGCGAGTTTGGCAAGTACAAGAGTAAGAGAAGAGGAATAAGAGCAAGAGGGGCGGGAAGAAAAGGGACAAGAGAACCAGAAATAGAGTACAGCGGGTAAGAGGGAGAAAAGTAAGAAATGGAACAGGTTGGCAGGATAGAGGGTGGTTTTACCCTGACTGGGGTTGGATGATCGATGAGTTGGGGGTGATTTTGTCGAGCTAGAGTGAAGCTATTTTGGGCTGAGAAGGATGGCTGAGCAATATATTGGAGATTGGATGAGAAATGAGGGCGTTTTGGGCGTTTAAGGCCAGGAGATGAACATTTGGATAGGGGTAGCTCGGTACATAGCTAGTTGATATGGGGTATATGACGAGGGGAGAAGCGAGACAAAGACTGGCTGTAGGGCGTAGGAGGAAACGGGGAAGAATAGCCGAGAACAAGACAAATAACGACTTCCGCGTAATTTACCGAACTGGAGGAGGTTGCCCTAATTACCTTGAGCCATTCGTCCAGCTAATGACGTTGGGATGTTCAGGTTTGGGGTTAGGGTCAGGAGCACGTAATAGAGTTAAATTTATCCGTGTATGGGGCCATATTTAGTGAGGTTTGGACCTTTTGGTCTTTTGGAATTGTAGGGTGACACATACCTTAATCAGAAAAAGAGATGTAGGGAGTCAAAATAAGCAATGAACCCCATCATAGTGACACAATAGGAGTTCCCAGCGGTGGAAAACCATTGGATTGCACCCGGGTCCGAGTAGAGGTTGTGTTGAGTCTCGGAAGGCCCGGAAACTGTGGTCAGCCGCAATATACAACGTGGTATTGGAGGATGGGTTGCCCCCCATGCTTCGGACCTTCGCTTCAATCCGTCTCTCCGATCAAAACGGGCCAAACGGTTGCCTGCCGGGCCGAATTGGACGCGTTATTCCCGTGCATATGCGCATCTACGAGTTGCGCGTCTCACCTACCTATACGATGTACGGCATGTTGGGTAACACCAACGCAGCTGAGAATGTACTACACGACTGTAAAGAAATATGCTAGACAAGCCGTTATCGGAAAACAGTGACATCAGGGTTCGTAAAATATCCAGTAATATAATGTTATTCTCGAGCTGCAGTCGATTCTAACACGTACTGTACCAGGTGTCTAAAAAGTCATAAACAATAATAAAATAATCGCCCCCTCGAAAAGAACATGTCTCGTAAACCGATAGGTTGCATCAGGCCGAGACCTTCAACACCTCATCTTAGATCCCCGAGAACCCCCCCTTAAAACCCAAAGTGGGACCTAGGAGGGCGGGCACCACGCCTCGCCTGCTTAGCAACCGGGCAGCCTTCACCGCTCTCAGTGGCGTTGGTGACACGCTCAAGCTCGTCCATCCACCGACCCAAGTCATCCTCCTGGAAGAGCCCCGCGGGGCGCTTCCAGCCCAGGTGGAGAGGCAGCTGCTCGTGCTCTGCGACGGAGTTAGCTCATCATTTCCCCCCAGATGTGATAATACCATAGTAGAAGCGAGTGAAAGAAAAAGAAAACCTACGGAAAACCCACTCAACCCAAGCCTTCGGCACGGTACCCGTCTCCTTGTCACCAATCACGACGATGTAGGCAGCCGACTCGCCAAAGCCAAAGTTGCGGCCGAGCTCGGACATGGAGAAGTCAGGGTTGGTGGCCATAGAGGTCTTGAACCGGGCCAGGCGGGCGTTGGCGGCCATCTGGATGTTGATGGTGTCGCCGACCCAGTAGGAGCGGGTCTCGTCGAAGATGCTCTGGTTGAAGTTGATGGTGTTGCCGAAGTAGGCGTCCGAGCGGCTGGGCGATTGTTAGATTCTTCTATGGTATAGTTGGTTGAATCGAGAGGGGTGGGCTTACCTCAGACTGGCATCGTGCTCGAGCACGCCGTGGTTGCCGAGATCGTTGAGCGAGAAGGTGGTGGCGTTCTCGATCGGGTTGGTGGTGATGGCAAAGTCGAACAGGAAGCTGCCGAGGGTCTTGTTGATGTTGAGGGCGTCGAACAGCGCGTTCTCGGTCACCTCGCGGGAGATGTTGCGGCCATCGTGGGGGAGGAAGCCGTGGTTCGTGAGGGTGTTGAGCATGGGGCAGGGGCCGCGAACTGGGAAGTGAGTTAGCTTGATGTTGGATCGTAGGGCTCGTCAACTACTAGTTGGTGGAGGTCAATTACCCTCATAGGGCCCAGCAGGGGCCCAGGTGTCGAAGCCGGCAAGGGCCGGGGTGATGGCCGCGAGGGCAGGGAGAAAGGAGGACTTCATGTTGATGGTGTTAAACTGTGCGAAGTTGCAAACTACTACACGGTTGAGCAAGGAAGTGATGGTGTGGATGAGCAGAAGATCGGTCCATTGACGCGCTCCTCGGGACTAATATACAATCTCTGTGTTTCCCCTCAAAACGTATTACATGAACCCCCATTGGACATCCCAGCCCGTCGGAGTCGGACCCGGAGCGGAGAGTCCGACGGGGACGGCCCAGGCCGTGCTAATTCGGCTCTTAAGATGCACCGCCTTGCATGACGACGTCGAGGCGAGGAGGGAAAACCAGGGGTCAACAGGAAGAAAACGGGCACGTTGGGCTTAAGTCGCAGGGGCTCAGTGGAAGAAGCCTCTGCAGTCTGCAGTAGAGGGGGGTCCAACGCAGGCAGGCGCAAGCTGCAGCACTGCAGCAACGCTGCCGAGAAGCCGCGTCACTATGACCGGGCGCGAGTTTGGTTGTCAAGTTGTCGCGAAGGGGCTGAGGTGGTATCGCCAAATCGATCTGCACCCAAGTCACGTTTCTTGACCGAGTGCGTGGGATGTCAACAGTGACTGGAGGATCGAAATGACCCCACAGGCCCGGCTTCCACGGATCACATACCATGGTACAACCTGCATGGGATCGGTCCGCTTCGCCTTTATCCTAAAGGCCGGGAGACAGAAGCCGCAGAGAACACGAACTTTGCGGAGGATTCTGGGTCTCTGGCCCAATAAGAGTCGGCATTATTGTCATCTCCTGGAAAGGGAAAAGGAATGCACGAATCTGCGCCCCAAGCTTACATGACAAGGCATCCCTCCCGATCCCAATCGAAGCAGCGCAAGAGAGGAAAAAAACGGGGAACTACAAAGGACAAGGCCCGAAATTAAACTTTCCCTGCCAAGGGAGCCACGCTTATGCTAACGTCAGAGAGCTAGGAAAAAGGAAGCGGAAGGGGCCTGGGACCCCGGGATATGCCTCGCCAAGCCATAGAAGAATGCATGGAAAGGAAAAGCCGACTTGCATTTGCCGATGAGCCGTTTCAACACCAGCGAGGTGCAGTTTGGGCTTGGCATTACCAACATTGGTGCACCGGGAAACGGCACCGTTTGCCTACACCACGAAAAGGACGAAGTTGGAAATTACGATCGACTTGAACCAACCTACGAAAGTTCCCATCGCGTATTCCTTCTACTCGTACAGTAGAGTAGCACGAAAATACGCCAGACAGATTGAGTTAAGGTCTCCCGTTTGTCAAACCGCGAAACAAACGTCCTGCGATTCCCCAAACAAATGTACTGAGAACCCAAACGAATCACTTGCAACGAGTCCCGACAACTCTAGGCTTCCCCTGGGGCAGACTGGTTTGTCCACGCAAGCTGGTTGTGGCTATGTCGTGCGACTCCATCCGAGTCTTGGCACAACAAACTCGTTCCTTGGCCCAATCCCTTGCAGCATTCTGTTTCCTCCTCCGAATTCGACATATCGGGTAAACATTGGGACTTCGGGAGTGTAGGTTGGTGGCTCGGAGCATATGAATTGCGAAGTAACGTTATCAGGAAACCGTTGGGAATGTATTAAATGGGCTGAATTGTCTCACTCTCGCGGACGCTCATTCGGTCGGGAGCTGTTGCGTGGCGTTGAACATTGACTTCATAAGCCTCAAGCGCAGTCGGTTCCATCGGAAACTGAGACAACTCACGAAAACCTTTTTCAGTCGCGACGAGGAGCGAGGCAAGTGCATACCGAATTGGGGAAGAAACAGGATGTTGTGGTCAAAGAACCTCACGGGTTGTCCGTGTCCACGATTTCTCAGGGCCGGGTTGCTTGCGTAGCCGGTTTCAAGGCCCGCGAATCGCCAGCTTCGAAAACGGCATCTCGGTAGATGAATCGGGCAATTGATTCGAAGTCAAGATTTCACGCGTCTAGCCGTTTTCTCTCACTTTTACCCTCTGTCTCCCGGGTTTTGGGCTGCGTTGTTGTTTTTGATTTGCTGCCGTGTCCAGACGCGAAGAGTTCCATGTTTCTCGCTTGAATTATCAATTGCCTAGTATAGAAAACAAGTTTTCGGAAACTACGACCGACGCGTTGTACTAAAGTAACGAAATATGAAGCAAAATTGGTTCCCGGAATGTCGACACTCACGACACCTCAGTTGCCCGGAAATACTTCCAGTCCAAGCCGGAAGCGGAGATGAACCCGTTCCGAACTTCCGACCCCGCGTTGCCATTTTCGGAGATTAGAACCGAGTTAAAGAAACTGTCAACTCGAAAGTGACAACTGGTGGTTCAAAGCCCAACGGCTCTTTATACCTCCCAAATTACACCGAACAGAAACAGTTAAACGATGGACCCGAATACCATCGACCCCATCGAAAACAGGCGCCGTATGGCCGCGGGAGATTTATACTATGCTTTTGTCCCAGACTTGACCGCGGATCGCTTCCGCTGCAAAGTCGCATGCGGTGCATACAGCGTGCAGGATGCCGCCGGTGCGCCGAGACGGAAACTTGTTGAGTTGATGAAAGAGTAAGTAATTAATACCTTACCTTTCTCACTTTTTCTGCATCTAGGTTCAACGGTTTTAACTGAGTCGTTTTGACTCAAATTAAACTTCGTCTAACCCGGACACCCAGTATCTTCAACGACAAAACCCCGCTACCCGCTCCCAACGCTCCCGAAGAAGAAGCCATCTTTGACCAATACCCCTGGATTGACGGTCCGGTCAAATTCGACTACGGCACCCAGGTCAAGTAATTATGTCTCCCCAATTCCCTATGAGCCGGGCACCTAACTGACCATTCTTCTCACCCCTAGATTCGGCCCCGGCGTCTACATCAACTCCAACTGCACCTTCATCGACACCATGCCCATCACCATCGGCGCGCGCACACTCGTCGGTCCCAACTGCAGTTTCTACTCAGGCACGCACCCGACCGATTCCCAGCTGCGCAACGGCATGCGCGGGCCCGAGAGCGGGAAACCAATTACCATTGGCGAAGACTGCTGGCTGGGCGGGAATGTCACGGTGCTGCCTGGTGTGACGATTGGGAGGGGCGTGACGGTTGGTGCCGGGAGTGTGGTGACGAAGGATGTGGAAGCGGATGTGGTTGTTGTTGGGAATCCGGCGAGGGTTGTGAAGAGGTTGAAGGGGGGCGAAGGGGAGGCGAAGAAATAGTAGGGGAAAGCTAAATGGCGTTGGGAAATGGTGGAAGAGTTAGCTGTTAGTGTTGAAATTTGGGTCTTGGGATTTGATAATTATCTATTGCATCTTTTCGGGGGAAAGTGCGATATTACCATTTCACACCCACGGAGTGGCTATAGTCAGTTGATTGGTCGGTGGAAACTGGGAAGGAGCGGCGCTCACCTTGAAACTTGGAAACGACAGGCACACCATCATCTTGGTCCAAATACGTACCCAATTCAGCGTCTTGTGACCTTCACTCACCCGTTGAAAAATGAGTTCACTCCTCCGATGGGCCTCGCGCTTCTATCCACGAACTCGATTGGCGCCAAAATCCTTTCCCAGTCACGGCTACCAGGCCATTCCGTCAGATTACAAACTCGAGGAAGAGACACTGCCGGATTACCTCCCCGAGCGCTTCTACCCTGTCCGCATCGGGGAAGTTTTAAATTCCCGGTATCAAGTCGTGGGAAAGCTGGGTTACGGTGTCACATCAACTGTCTGGCTTGCTCGGGACCTCGAGTGCGTTATCCCGGACCCGGCTCATCCATGATTCACGTCAGTATTGATGTAGACTGACAAAACAACAAGTAAACATAACCACGTCGCAATAAAAGTTTCCATCCGTTCCGCAGCGTTAGGCAATCTAGTACACCACGAACGGAACGTTTACCAGCGCATCGATACCGGCCCACGGCACCATCCCGGCCGAGCCGCCATCCGATCCTTACTGGATGTTTTCCAGCTCGACGGTCCGGACGGCCAGCATGAGTGTCTTGTGCATCCGCCCTTATGGGAAAGCGTCCGAACTTTCCTAACCCGCAACCCGATTGGAAGACTGCCGAGTCCGGTGTTGGCGATCGTGTTGTTGCGGGTGTTTCAGGCTTTGGATTATCTACATAATGAGTGTAAAATTATTCACACTGGTGGGTCTTGTTCGCCTAGATGTAGTAGATGGCCGAGCAGTAAGGACTAACAACCCTGATATTTAGACATCAAACCCGACAACATTATGTTCGGCTTCGAGGAAGAATCATGCCTGGAAGATTTCGAACAAGCTGAGTTAACCAACCCAAGCCCACGGAAGGAGGTCGACGGGAGATTCATCTACCTTTCCCGGCAAGTCGATCAGCCCAAAGGTGTAGGCGCCCCGGTATTATGTGACTTTGGGGCTGCAGTGTTTGGAGACAGTGTCCACCATGACGATGTTCAGCCGGACCGATACCGGTGCCCAGAGGTCATTCTCGGGGTGCCATGGCACTCTCAGATTGACATCTGGAACGTTGGGTGCCTGGTAGGCTTTTGTGATCTTTGGTTTGGATAATTATTGGTGCTGACGGTATGTCAGGTTTGGGATCTCTTCGAAGGCGGGCGTCTCTTCAGCGGAACTGACCCTGAAGTGGGAACCTACCGCGGCCGCGCCCATCTTGCGGAGATGATTGCTCTGTTAGGGCCGCCTGGGCTCGAGTTGATCAATCGGGGGAGATTGAAGTGGAAGTTCTTCACTGGGGCTGGTAAGTCATTTCTGGGATAAAATACGCTCAATAACGGTTTTCTATTAACACTCCTGCTGCGAAGGAAACTGGAAAGCGGGGATTGACCCGTACCCACGGACATCTCTGGAGAAGTTGGAGACAAATCTCGAGGGTACAGACAAAACAATGTTCCTCGACCTGATGGTGAACATGTTGCAGTGGGCTCCAGAAGACCGAGCGCTGCCGCAGGAGCTGGTCAACGATCCATGGATCGCGAAAGAGTTGGCTTAGCACTCGGCATACGGCAAGATAAAGCTGTGCGTTGCGGAAGACGGAGCATCGGACTGATGCTCACTGTAACATTACTAAAACAAGCCAACACCATACAAATGACCACTACTCCCATTCCCATTCCTATCGCCAACCATATCACCCCCACGTCTTACGCGTCGCTTTCACCGCTTTCCAATACGTGACACCGCCCACCTCCCCCCTTACACGCCCCCGCCAGCTCCCCCCATCCATAATATCACAGTCCGAGCCGGCCATACCCCCCAGTCCTTTTCCCGCGCTTGGAAAAATAACCCGACTCCGTCGGGATCTTCTTCCGTTGCCCCGGCATCTCGGACACCCAGTCCGTCGTGTATTGGAATAAACCGTTCCCAGAGAACGGCTCATCATCGTTCCGCGACACTAGCACTGCCACGTTTAGCAACGCTGAGCATCCCGCCCCGCTGTGACGCGTCCTCGACCATCGATTGCGTGGGCGATGCCGTTCGGCGGGATGTCGGTGACCAACGAGCTAGCCGCCTTGCTGCTCGTCAGCGTGATGGTATGCGTCACCGAGCGGGACACCGCTTCGTTTCCCATTTGCTTGTGAGATCGAGGCTGGCGACCTGCCTGCGGAACATGGGGGCGATCCGGCGGTTCAACGCCATATTTCCAGTACCCAACTCCTTTACCAACCTTTCATGTAATTACTCTCCGACATATCTAGTGACCGGTGCTTTCTGCTTCTCAGACTTCAATTAGTATCTCCCACTCACCCACCTTTCACGCATGGGATTTCCATTTCACTGTTGGTCATCAAGACTGACTTTTGTTCAATTAACTAATCCGATATTGGCAACTGAGCCCAGACCACGTTTGCATAGCGCTGCAGGGCCTCAATGTCAAGTATGAAATCCCCCTCCCCCGGGCCAGGATCGCGAAGAAAAAGAAGCCGGAATCCTAGTACCAATGCCCCATTAACGTTATACGATACTGGATTCGTCGTCTCATCGCGGGTGATGGTGATTGTCTGTCGTTTTACTAGCTGGAGAATGCTATTCTGCTGCTGTACACTAGCCCGGTTCCGTGTGATCGGTCCTGGTGGAGCTGTGATTTCTTCCTCCCATTTCTCCAGAATAACGTGGTCTTGTTGGTGGTCAAATTTCGCCAGAAGGACTATCTTGACCTCGTGGTTTGAGGCCTCAAACCACCACCGCATATCTTTGCGAAGATCGTCTAACAGCTCGGAATGTCCAGAGTCAACGACGAGTGTTGGCCAACTGCTGGGTGCAGTACATTCCGGCCATGGATCCCCTGTTGAATCGCCTTCTCCGCCAGGATAGCCTTGTACGTCTCGAAATGTGGTTGACCCAATATCTTTCCAACTTTCAGACATTTCCTTTCGGACAAGCTGGGCACAATACCGCATATATATCCCCATATGAAGGGCCTCGTGTAAAGCGGTTGGGAGCTTGATGGTCAGGATCCCGGAAGAGCTATCGTAGCGGCGAAAACGGATTTTACGCCGCCGTTTCTCTCGCTCATGTCGGACTTGGATGAAATGATGAGGATAGACGTCTGTCTAATAATTAGTCTACGAATTTTAGAAGAATAAATGGGTATTAGCATACTTGTGACGGCAAGGAAATCCCCACTCGTCCGGTTGATGACGTCGAAGAGATCTTGTACGTTCGTGAATTGGAAAGTTAGGGGACCGTCGGGTTGTATCAAATTTATCGAGGCGGCCATAGTAGGTGCAGATGAAGTCGATACAGACATGGGTACAGTCGATGGAGATACCTCTGGTGGCGGGTTTGACGCATTTGACGCCATGGTGAATTGTTGAAGTTTGAACCTGGGATCCGCGAGATGCGTGCTCAGGAAAATGGCGGGGCCAGACTAACGTAATTAGTTAACTAACAATTATGAACAAAAAATGGTAGCCGCGACTCAGACACTCATGAAGAAGTGGAGATTGAACTGGGCCGTGACCGGCATTATCAGCCGGGACCATTATCTCGGGTTGTTTGGATGCGGAGTTGGCCGCCACTTGATTCATGTTTTCATGTCTTTTTTTTCCTGTTTTCCTTCTCATGTTTTTTTTTGTTTTTTTTTATATCTTCTTTCTACTGATTATTCGGTACCGTTTCCATTATTAAGATCTGAGGTGTAGGAGCCACGGAGGAACTAGCCCACCGCTACCTTCCACACTCGCTCAAGGCCAGTTAGGCGCCGGCCGGCAAGGATGAATTTCACGTGAGAAGACGGTGGCCTCATTCGCTCCCATGAGCCGCCGGAGAGCCTGCAGCCTGACGAGGCTGGCAACCCCCTTAAGCGCTCAGCGGGCTGAATGCGTGCGGGGTTTTGGAGGCGGCTTAGGCGAGATGGAGGCCTAATAATTGCATCTGTCGCCTAGCTGCCCCATTGCCCAACGCCTTGGTGCCCAGGCACGATACTGTTCAACTCGGTCGATATTTTCATTGTTTGTTTCTCCAGCCATGGGAGTGAAGCCGCAGCATCGACCCGCATTCGAGAAGGTTCGGAAGGAATGCAACATCGTGTTTGCGGAGGAATGTCGGCGTGACCAATGGCCGGCCGGCCACAGAAGTGTATTCGAAGCGATCGAGAAGTTGAAAAGCTTCACGTATGACACCTATCGTGTTAACTCAACAGGCGACAGTATTAAAACTACTCCGGCATGGCAAGTCGACACCATGCGTCGGTCCAGGCAGCTTGTCGAAAAAGCAAAGGACCTTGTGGCCAGGAACGAAGCAACCTGGAGACTGGCCTGCGAGCCTCTCGTTTTCGGCCGGTTAAGTTCTGAGCTTGCCTGGTGAGGTGTTACTGCCTCTCTCCCAAGGCAGAGCAGAGGCACATTGAGAACCTCGAAAGGTGCCTTGGGATAACGTTTGTTGTAATACAGCCGCTAATGTGCCCTGTAATTACTTAGCACGAGTTGCCGCAACCGTGTTTGGCGATCCGAGATCGAAGCATCAGGAGACAGCGCCTGGGGTATCAACAATCTGCGGCTAAGGCAGGAAAAGCGTGAAGTCTGCCGTTGTGCGCCTGTAACGCGCCTGCTTGACGACGAGTACGTTGCTCCCTGGGTACCTATTATCCTCCACATGATGTGCAGATTAATCTCACAGTTCCTCACTACAGGGATGAACGGGCAGGTTTAGATCGTCTGTTTATAGACAGAGCTGAAGATTGGGTGGCCCATCCTCCCGAGCTGGCGAAACGGCTGCCTCAGGAGCAAAGGCCAGACCGCGTCTATGGTCTCCGGCAGACAAGGAACATTGAGAGATTGCTCGAAAAGAAGCTCCCCAACGGAGACTTTCTTGAAGATCTCCTGCCTAAACAGCCGCACGATACGACCCTTGGCCAGCCCCTGCTGTTTCCATTCCTCGTTGTGGAAGCAAAGGCTGGCAATTCCCCAGATGACTGGCATTCGATTAGATTACAGACGGCATTCCCCATTTTTACCTACCTCAATACCCAGCGGAGCCTGCGCAGCGCGACAAGAGACAGATCCAAGTGGATTTCGGGTCCTCTTGTTTGGTTCTTTACAAGTAGGGGTGAGGACTGGAGGCTTTCCCTGGCATACCAAAGCGAGGCTGAAGCCCCGAGTTTGTTGAGCTCTAGTGCCTCAAATATCACCACTGTAGGTGTGCTTCAGCATGCAACTTGAACAATGCGATGTATCGAACTAACGGTTTCACAGAACATTGCCCAGGTCTGGGCTGGCTCAATTACTAACAGGGATGATGCGCTTCGACTGCTTCTCATTGTAGATTACATGTCCGATTGGGCCCGTGACATATACCGGACAACTGTCATTACCGAGCTGCGTATCCTCGCGAGCCCAGACACCGACGTTAGCACCGTCTTCGCGGACACCGATATTTTCTCGTCCGGCCGCAGTCATCCTGACAGAGTTGCCGGTGATAAAGCAAGAGCGTTCTCGTATGACGCCGCTGACGCACAGGCAGCTTTCAAGAGGCTTGACAGTGATGTTGGGGCCGTCCGCAGTACCGCGTGGCTGGAGTCTAGATTTCGGGCTCTCGTCATCACTGAAGCTAACGTCCAAAGGTTGACAAACTCCATCCGCGAAGACTTCAGAGCGCCGTTTGTCAGGAAGATTCTCGACCAATTCTATTCTCCTGATGCTGATCCCGTTGCGTTGACGCCCCAAGACCTCGCCGGTCTCGAAACGGCATGGACCGGTCATAGACGCCAGCTTAGCCAGATCAACTTCGGGGCCGAAGATACAACGCTGTACACCGCCTACGTTGTCCTGTATTACCTTTCGCCTTCCTGGGACCAAGTACGTGAATTGTGCGTTGTATCAATGTCAAAAGGGGCCCTCGACATCTTCGTTGCGGACTTCCTGCCGAAGGAAGTCCAAAGCCACGCCCCGACATTGCAATGGACCGGCGCCGGTTACCTGGAGACCGGAAAGCTGGTCGTGCACACAATCAAGAAACTTAGGAGCCTGGTTGATCATGAGGAGAACTTGATGGCCTGCATCTTCAGACTGTGCCGCCGCTTTCGATGGGCCTGGCCGGAGCCGGATTGTGGTGGAGAGGATTTCAAATGGTGCTATCGGTCCTGTGCCTCCACGGTCGGGGAAGTAACATCCTATGCCGACCTCGTCGGCCTCCAGGATGAACCCGGGGGCCTGGGTAACGGTCTACCCTCTAGGTTCACCTCGTCCCGCTCCGAAGTTCAGCCCCCGAGCATGTCACCACCGACCCAATTTCTATGCCTGGGTGGGCCAATGCGGGTATCGGGTTCAGGTGCCATTTTGGTTCACGATGACGCACCTTCTAGGTCTGGACAACCTGAACAGACTTCACCATCGCTCTGCGTGTACCTGGCCTGGAATATCGCCGAGAAACTAGTCACGCCAAGTCAAAATGAGTTGGGTGGTATTATCCAGGACGCGGTCGAGAGCGGTGAGATCTACCATACCATCCGCTTTAATGGGAAACTAGATTCGTGGCAACCGGATCACCCCCAGGGCGTTTGGAACCTGGAGCTGGCCTACCGGAGCGACGACCAAGTCCCGGAGCTCTGCTCTTCTTGCCAGTCCGACTTGAGTAGGGATGGTAGCTGGGAAGCAGAAGCCATAAGGGAAGCTTTCCAAAACGTTGTCTCATCAAAAGCACCTGATGTTCCGCAACTGCCACAATTGGCTGAAAGACGCTTTATCAACGTACGGTTCCTCTCTTGTTTGATTGCCTCGCTGCGCGGCTCCCGAGAGTCCGGGGTTTCAGGTAGTGGGCAGGGCTTGGGCCTGAAATTTGACACCAATGATACCAACGCCATTCCGTTGGATTGGAAGGAGATTTCAGATGTGCTTCTGGAACAATATATCCTTAGACCCGAACCCGATGACCTGTTTGCCCTTGGAACTAACCCTAGAATTGAGACGCCCATTCCAAAAACCATGAATTACCCAACAGAGTTCGAGTTGACTTCTGAGCCTACCAATGGTACCGGGGCGGGGAAGCGAAAACGATCTCTAAGAGATTCACAAGAGGACCTGGACGACCAGGAGGTTGGGCCGATGAGTTAATCAATGAGCGTCAGTCGAGCGAGGTCGGATTTTGTATTCCGGAGATGGTGTTTTTACTGGATCCAATAACTTTCATAAAAAATCTACATGACTTAGAGAGTCCGTGTCATCTTCGGTGGCCCGCGCGCTTCTGGCCTCACGGGCAAGGGTTCTGAAGGTCATGACACGAGGGACTTGGAATCAATGTTGTGTTTAGAAATATGTCCCATTTCTTCCGTCTGAGTACATCACAAAGGACAGAAAGGCGTCCCGGCTCCTCGCAACGCCCCAGCCCGTAGATCGACAAATGAACCTATAGTAACTCCGCCGAGGGCCGACACTACATTACTCCTTGCAACTCCACAGAAAAGCGAACTCTAGTCAACTTCGGCCTCCTTTTGCCTCGATAGCAGCAACGTCCGGGTTTCTCGCATGGCTCTAGGAACCACCTACTGCTCCTGAACGGGATAGGGAAAGTACCATGGGTGTTGAAGGCCCTTCCGACGCCCAGAGCCAAGAACCGGCACCGTTCCTTCTAATTTTATTATATCAACATGGAGAGTAGCAGCAAATCTGAAGTTCTTTCGCAGCTAATCTGCGGTTTAACGGTGTCGCGCTGGCTCCGCTTAACGTAGCACCTTCCTTTCTCTCAACACCCCCTCTACATAAGTCGAACCCCCCCCTTTTGGAACACCCCACTTTTGGAACACTTGGCAGACCACACCGCTTTTGTAACCACTTCAACTTCAACTTACCACAACTCGGTCAATCTTTGGTCAAATAAGCTCATTTTTTGAATACAGCTCTGTTAGTTCAAGATGCGGTATACTGAACAAGATCTACAAGATGCGATTGCGATATACAAACAAGGTGCCCAGTCATTGCGTAAGATCAGTCGCGAATTCGGTATTCCGACCACCACCCTCTACCACCGTATTCAGGGTACACAGACCCATTCGGCGGGGCCGAATCGCTCCAGATCCTCAGCCCAGTGCAAGAAGCCCACCTTACGCAGTGGGTTTTGACCCAGGTAGCCCTCGGTCTTCCGCC